GTAGCTGGGGAAGGGGGTAGTGCTAGTCTTCATTCATCTGTAAAACTTGAGGGGAAGATAATACTTGCCCTCCTTGACCAGTGATCAGGATAGATAAGATCAGTGCTTGAAAAACACGTGTTCATTTATTTACTCATTCATGCACCGAGCCTGTTCTGACTGCACTCCGGCTCTGTGTGCAGATGAGAGGGGGGCTCAGTGATTTTCACCACAGCTGAATGATGAGCTTCCCACAGTTGGGAGTGTTTTTTCCTCTCAAATCCCTAGTGCCAGTACCTCCCCCAGAACTCATTATGTGTTTGAGGAATGACCGACCCAACAACAAAGGCACCCATAGGTGGCTGCAGTGGACGAGTGGAATTCAGGAAAGGCAAGGGATTGAGGTAGTGAGAAAGAAGCTGAGGTGGTGATAGAGAGGCGATGAAACTTGGGCTGCTTTTCTATATTTAGCTTTTGTTCCACTCAGCCAGTGTGTTTTGTGGAGATGGCATTTGTACTATTTTCAGATGACAAGCATTAGGTGGCTCCTTGCAAGCATTCTTTTTTATTTCCTACCTTGCAGTGATGCCCAGGCTTGGTAACTAAGTACAGCTCATATAAGACTGGCATCTCAGTGTAAACCCTTAAAAAGTGTTGCTGAACTCCTTTCCCTGTTTACTATACCATTTCTCCCTGTTGGCATCTCCTCAGACTGACCCCAGCCCCCAAGGAGACCCCCAAAGCATTCTGGTTAGCTTTATGCCTTTTAAGTGCAGCAAATCATTAACATCACACTTCTGTCCCCTACCCGGTTTCATGGCCAGCAGGTCAGGGCTCTTCCAAAGAAAGCTGGCTAATTATATCCCTTGTCTGAACAGATTCCCACAAGAGGAGCAAAGCAGTGACGAATAAATGGAGCTGGGGAGGAGGAGCAGGCACCGCCAGCTTTTAGCATGGGGGGGAAGTGGCTTTTGAGGATTTGTTCTCTCTCAGCCCCCTCTCTCCCTGATTCGAGTGAAACTAGCAGCTGCCCTTGCTTGCGCGCTTGCTTGGTGTGTTAGACTGCGGCGCCGTGCTAGATCCAAAGATTTTGCAGTCAGTGGAGTGACAGGGAGGCGCAGAACAAAGGGAAACTGGATGCTGGCTAGAGATCAGGCCGCTGGAGTTGGAGGAGGCTTGTCGCCAAGTGGCAGAATTGGTGGCTGAATTCTTGCCACATCCCATCTGCTCACTGCTTCTCCTCCATGGGACTCCTTCCCCCTCTGCCCTGAGCCCTTCGGCTCTTCTGTCTCCCTTCTAGGACATAGCTATATTCTTTACTTCCCCTGGGCCCCCTAGATCAGGCTTTGTAAGGAGATAACCAGAGTATGAAGGCCCAGGCATTCTGTGTTATTTTCCCCTGGGGGGAAGGGCCCCCTCACCTGGCATTGGGGGGGGACTAAAATCCACGGTCTCATCCACAGACGGACGGCGAGAAGCACTCGCAGGTGGAGAGGAGCTCCCTGTGGTCTGGCGATGATGTCAAGAAGTCAGACGGAGGTTCAGACAGCGGCATAAAGATGGAGCCAGGGTCTAAGTGGAGGCGGAACCCCTCTGACGTGTCTGACGAGTCTGACAAGAGCACTTCAGGCAAGAAGAACCCCGTCATCTCACAGACGGGCTCCTGGCGGCGAGGCATGACAGCGCAGGTGGGCATCACCATGCCGAGGACGAAGCCAGCTGCCCCTGCGGGCACGCTCAAGACTCCCGGAACCGGTGAGTGAGGCACATGCTGTCCTGAATCCACAGCTGTCAGTTGGCAAACCAAAACTGGAGTCACTCTAGCAAGGACTCGATGTTGTTTTTAAGGCCCCATAAATGCTAGGGTATTTCCCCTTCGGGTTTAGACTGTGCTAAGGGCCAGCTTTCGTAAAGTAGTCATATGTAAGCACATGAGCCTCTTGGACTCTGAGGATGGTTCAGCTGCTTAGGAGGATTGAGCATTGGTTTAATCATATGCTGGGGAAAAGCTAATATGCCCAGTGCACATGCCTCCAAGGGCACATGTTTCTGAGCTGTTGGTATGTTGAGTTGATGTTGTCCTTGATGTGTATAAATAAGGACAATTTCTGCAGGGAGTCAGGGGTTGCCCCTGCAAATTTTAGGGGCAACTTTTTAATGGACAAAGAGGGAAAGGTCTATAAAAGGCAAGATCTCTTTCCCAGACATATCAGTGATTGACTGGCTTTCCTTCACTCTGGGTAAATTTAGACTGCTTTGCAAATGCATAAAATCACTGACATCACCTAAAAGGCTGATGGTGACAAGAGAAGACTAGATTATCTTTATAAAGAGCTCTTTCCTCAGCCTCCCCAGGGCACTGCTTTCCCCAAGGACAAACTGAACCTGCTCTTTGGAGGAAGGGAGAATTTTAAACAGATTGAGCTGGATGAGCTGGCTTCTTGGTCTGCAGGCTAACTTTGCTTATTTCTCTCTAAGGAAAAACAGATGATGCAAAGGTATCTGAGAAGGGAAGACTGTCTCCCAAAGCCTCTCAGGTGAAGCGCTCCCCATCAGATGCAGGCCGCAGCAGTGGTGATGAATCCAAAAAAGCCCTCCCTAGCAGCTCCAGGACGCCCACCGCCAATGCCAACAGCTTTGGGTTCAAGAAGCAGAACGGCTCAGCCGCTGGTCTGGCCATGATCACAGCCAGCGGAGCCACTGTTACCAGCAGATCAGCCACACTGGGCAAAATCCCAAAGTCATCTGCACTTGTCGGTCGGTCTACTGGTCGGAAGACGAGCATGGATGGGGTTCAGAATCAGGATGATGGTTATCTGTCTCTCAGCTCCCGGACAAACTTGCAGTACCGGAGTTTGCCACGGCCCAGTAAGTCCACCAGCCGGAATGGAGCTGGGAACAGGTCTAGTACCAGCAGCATAGATTCTAACATCAGCAGTAAGTCAGCAGGCCTGCCGGTGCCCAAGCTGAGGGAGCCTTCCAAAACGGCCCTCGGTAGCTCTCTCCCAGGTCTGGTCAACCAGACAGATAAGGAGAAAGGCATCTCATCGGACAACGAGAGCGTGGCTTCTTGTAACTCAGTGAAAGTGAACCCTGCAGCCCAGCCTATGTCCAGTGCGGCTCAGACCACTCTCCAGCCAGGGGCTAAATACCCTGACGTGGCCTCTCCCACGCTGCGCAGGTAAGCGGGCCCGTCATGCTGAGCGAAACAGGAATGCATGGCATGGCATCCTGGATTAATGCTTTTTTGTTTCTTAGTTCAGGTGGCCTCTGTCTTTCTCTGCTTTAGTCGTAGAGTAAAGCTTTGGTCAGATCCTGCTAGCAATTTTGCAGTCCACTGATTATATTTCCATGTTGGGATGAGAAACAAAAACTTCTGGAATCAGTCATTTTCGCCCACCTTAATACCACCATATAACCTTTCCTAACAGTTCTGCCTCAGTAAAATGAGGACGATGATACTTATTTGAGAGCTCTTGTGAAGATTAATCTGTATAGCTACATCTGGCCCATAGTAAGCCCTCAATAAAAGTTAGCTACCATCCAAGATCATATCTTAATACCTGGGTCAACAGCTCGCAGGAAGCAGACCAATTTTTTGTCCTTGCCAATTCTGTGACTGAGATTCTTCATCTTTATACCAGTGATCTTAGCCAGTTTTTTTTTTTTTTTTCATATAGCCAGTATCCCTGACTTACTTTTTATTCTGCATACATTATTTCAAATTCGTCTCTGAAAGTTTAGCTTCCTTTGAAAAAAAACCTCTTTAACACACAGTGTTTCTGAAAAACTGAGGCATTGATGTCCTGTCACCTTAAAAAGACATTTTCTAGCATTCCCAAGCTGGATGGAAATTTTTATGTGCAAATGTTAGTATTCACTATTTTTTTAAGTTTCTTTTAAATTTATACAACTTTCGCTTCTTCATATTATCACATAATATCTCGTAATACTCATCAAATCCATGGGGCCGTCCTCCAACTGAAAAGCATAGTTCATTTGCCATCTCAGGAAATGTCTTGCTGTAGGAAAGAATAAGTCTCATGGGTAGAAAATTAAGGAGTGAAAAAATAAAAATGATGTGCACACATACATATTTGAGGATGAAAAGGAATGTTTGAAAAGACTTCAGAAGATGCATTCCTCATGAAAGGTATAATGAAGCAGTTTGCTGTTCTTTGTCTAGACTTGATTATTAGAATTTCAGTAATGATTATTTTTTCAGGGGAAGGTCCTATTGAGCTACTCTTTGTTGTTTTAACAGATTGCCTTGTAAATGAACATTTTCTCGGCTTCTTGCCTCAAGTATTATATGTAATATTCGCTCCTTGGTATTATAGATTTCCTTTAGTAACTACAAAGGCATTTTACTAGACCCTTAGGCAAATGTAATGGAATACTTGAAAATGCGTGCAGCTTCTGGGCTCTGCATTGAGCGCCTTTCAGCCAATTCCTGGTAATTGCATTTTTCCTAAATCATTAAGGTGTTCTCAATTTTCTTGTTTATTAGTCTGAACAAGAGAAATCTTAGGTGAAGTGTGATAGCTTTCTTTGATTTGAAGGACTAACAGAAAAAGACTTTTTCTGTGTAGCCAGATTAGTAACTAAACATAAAAGTCAGAAGAAGATAGATCGGATTTTGATTTTCTAACAATTGGAAGTGCTTGGCAATGGAGCAGGTTTCCAGTTGAAGTAGTGAGGTCCCTGTCACTGGAAGTATGCAAGTATTTAAAGCCAAGATCCTACAATAGGGTATTTCAGTCTCTGAGTGTCACTAGGCAAAAAGTGTTTCTCATCAGATACCGGATGTTACAAGGCAGATTGATTATGTGTGTGTTTATTTCTAAATAATTAAGATTTGTAAGGACTATTTAGAGAGATCAGTTGCATACCATTCTGAGTAGCTGATGAAAGGCAGCCTAGCCTGCCTTTCATGATATGCAGTAGTTTCGTCACTTTTCAGGGGTACCTATTCTGCAAGGGTTTTAGTGGCTGGAGTTTACTTACATTAATAGAGCATGTCCCACACACTGACTTTAGGGCAGTTCTACCATCCTACCATTCTGATGGCCCATTTTTGGTCATGAGCGAGGGGACATAACATAGAATGGCATTTTTGTGTATCTGTCACAGAGACACAGTTCACGCCCTGTGTGTCTGGACTGATGTCCTATGAACCTAGCCAGACTTTGTGTGTTTCTTCAGGTAGTGCTAGCTCTGTGGTCCTAAAAGACACATCTTTTACATTGGACTCTCCCTTGAAGATAAATCGTGGAGATACTTTTCCCAGGCCCCATGCAGATCTAGACTCCGTTCTTGATTCTACATGTTGTGCTGAGGGATCAAAGAAACAGACTGTCATAAACTGGGTGCCTTCTTTGTGCCTGGGGTCATGAATACAAGCGTGATTAAGATAGCTTTTTTCCCTCTCCACGTTTTCTGGGCCAGGACTGTTTTCTAGTTACTCTATTTATGGAAAGAAAGGGAGGCAAGGTCTTGGACCAGCATGACTAGGCCTGTAGAAAGTTTCCCTCTGGCCCAGATAGAACCAGGGGCTCATCAGCAGCCTGGAATTTGAAGCTGGGGCTTTGTGATACATCAGCCTGAGGGCACACTGTGTGGCAGGCTTTCCCAAGGGAATGCTGTTAGCCATTTCAGGAGGGACAACTGTGCGTCCCTCCCCAGAAAGCTTCAGGTGCACCTGTTCCTGTGCCCCCCACACTTTAATAGCTTGGGCCTCCCCTTCACCCCACAAAACCCTTTGTCTCTTCACAGACTCTTTGGTGGAAAACCTAGCAAGCAAGTACCCATCGCCACAGCTGAAAACATGAAAAATTCAGTGGTCATCTCCAATCCTCATGCCACCTTGACCCAGCAAGGTAACTTAGAGTCCCCCTCAGGCAGCGGCGTCCTGAGCAGCGGGAGCAGCAGCCCTCTCTACAGTAAGAATGTGGATATCAACCAGTCTCCTCTAGCCTCCAGCCCCAGCTCAGCCCACTCAGGGCCCTCCAACAGCCTCACCTGGGGCACCAACGCCAGCAGCTCCTCCGCAGTTAGCAAGGACGGCCTGGGCTTCCAGTCCGTCAGCAGCCTCCACACAAGCTGCGAGTCCATTGACATCTCCCTCAGCAGTGGAGGGGGACTGAGTCACAATTCCTCCACGGGCCTCCTTGCCTCCTCTAAGGACGACTCGCTGACGCCCTTTGTCAGAACCAACAGCGTGAAGACCACACTGTCGGAAAGGTTGGTGCTGTGCGTTTGGTGGCCTTTAGCTCTCGATGAGACGCCCTTCCAAGAGTCAAGAGATCTCGCTAGGAACTCCCAACATAGCTACCTGTGCCTGGGAGACTTCTTTTTAATTGCTGCCACCTTTCTGTGGGGGAGCCAGTTTGGGTTGGCATTAAGCTTCGCTCTGCTTCCTGTTGTCTTTCACCGTAGTTCCTCTCGGGCTCGGAGCCATGGGAAGGCTCTTGGGGACAGGTCGAAAGCTTCCATTGGAAATGGCATTCCACCTTTGAAACCCTTCCATTTTATTCTGTCTGTTCATCAATAGCTTTTTTTTTCTCTCCCCTTGTCACCGTGCAGGCAGAGAAGGTGGCCGGCTGTGGCCATGGAGGGCAGGGCAGGATGCTTTTAGGCAGCTGGGTAGATTTGGTGGTCACCATGGCAGACACCTTCCTACTGAAGGACTGCTGGCCAGAGGTAGGAAATCGTGAAAACAAAGCGTCCTCAGGACTCTGCATTTCACTGCTGTAGCGGTGTGTCCAGTTTCTCCACCTAGGGAAGAAAGCTGGGTTTGTCAGCAGCGAGAAAAGAAAAATGTCTTAATCGTTGTGTATAACAGCACTTCCCTTTCTTCCAATCTAATGTTCCTTCTCTTGTTTTCTACCTGCCTGGACTTCTAGCCCTCTCTCTTCCCCTGCCGCTAGCCCTAAGTTCTGCAGAAGTACTCTGCCCAGGAAACAGGACAGGTAATGACCTTGTAGGCTGGGGACCCCACCGAGCCTCCAGGTTTCTCTGCTCCTCTGTGTCAAGCCAGATGTTTTGTGTGAGGCTGTTGGCCTGAGGCTTCTGCTTGTGTTTGTGGCTCAAGTGTACTCTGTGACCCCCCTCACCCCCACCCCTGGACATGCCAGTGAGGGTCCGTTTTGCTGTCCACTAAAGCCTAGGAGAGGTGGAGTTGGACAGGCCCCTCCCTTCCCTGGAAGGAACCTCAAACCCTGCCACTTGAGCTGGGGCGGCAGAAGCCCTCACTTGCATCTCAATCTTCCTGTGGCATGCTCCTGCTTCCTAGCTGCCCCTCCTTTTTTGCCCCCCCAATCCAGAATTGTTCTACCACCCACTGTGCGGCTTGGCCCTCACCTTTGTCTCTCCACTCCCCATTCCCCACACAGCTGGCTCTTCTCCCTCTCGAAATCCTGTGCTGCAGTTTGGCTCATTATGTCTTGCAGGCTGTTGTGTTCTGTGTGCTGTTTCCTATAAAGATCACAGGAAAGACAATGTGGAGTGCTGAGGCTTCACCAATGAAGAGATTTGTTTGCCCCCAGCTGCCCTGTGGGTGGGCCTCAGTGATGGCTATTGACCTTAAATTTGTGGGGGAGCCATAGCTTGGCCAAACATAATAAGCTGATGTTTCATGCTAGGCAGGAAAAAAAAAAATTAATGAAACCATCTTCAGCCCATCAACAGCAAAAACTTTGTTTTTGTCAGACTCGCAGACCAAGCCTTACACCCTTGTTCTTTGGCAATCCAAATGCCTTGACTTTATCTGCCAGCAAGTTGTAACATGCCCCGACGCAGGCCCAAGGGCTCAGCTCCTAGCAGCACCCTGCAAGGGCCGCAGAAACTGCGAGGGACCTGGAATTCACTTCGTTACAGATGAATTCCAAATATGCAGACTGCTGGCCTCTTGAAACCCTCCAACGAGTCTCTTCTCTCACTTGAAGTCTTTGCCAGTGGCATTTGGGGGTGGACCCGAGTTAGGGGTGCCAGGAAGCTGGCATCTCTCTCTCCCGGAGAAGCAGTGGTGGTGCAGAGATGGGCGACTGGGCAGCGGAAGGCACGGGCTCTGCTTGGAGGTGGGGCAGCCCCTGAGTTTTGCTCTGAACTGTGGAAAAGGAGGAACAATTGGGGTTGAGTGGTTCAGGCCTCCTGGCAACTTGGGGTAACGTATGGACTGGTGTCAGCACCGGCCGAGGCTGGGTTTCTTTCGTTTCCCCGAATGTGTTGCATGTGTGGCTGAGTGAGGGCACACTCTGGTGAAGGGAGTCTCTGCAGGTGTCTTTGCCCCCCCCTCAGCCTTCCCCTCTTCGCACTGCCTGCTTTTCCTCTGCTGTGCTCAAGTTCTCATTTTTGTTTTAACTTTCCTACAGTGACCCGCACCTTGATAGGAACACTTTGCCTAAGAAAGGACTCAGGTATCTGTGTTTCCTCCTTGCATCCGTGCCACCTGGTGTGGCCTTGGGGCGTGGCTATGTGGCTCTCTCATGGCTGGTGGGCGTTTGGGCTGGACTGGGGTTCCCGCTTTGGCCACCGCACCAGGACCCTTGGGACGCTGGCTCTCCTCACACTCGCTCCTCATCTTCCTGTTTGTTGGCTTATTTGCTTGAGCAGAGGCTGTGCTTTTTCAGGCTGAATGTGGTGAATCCACCTCATGAAAAACATCCCAGGGCAAGCTCAGAAGCAGTTACTGCTGCTTCTGGGGCCAGTGTCTTAATTGCTGAGCTCTTCACCCTGACCATTCTGTCCACGGCTGTCTTCTAAGAGAAAGGACGTGACTTGTAGCATGTTGACTTGTTAGCCAGGATGAAAACAAAGAAGAGAAACATTTCCCCCAAATTTGAGCCTTTGGTCTATAGAAAATTGGTAAAGCTATCTAAATTGCACTTGTTTCAGTATACTCAACAGTTGGGTCCATTTTCAGTGCCCAATAAGACATGGATGTGATCAGTTTTTGAATGAAAACTAGAAAGGACGACCAGGGAGGAATGTCCTTTTATGCACTGTAAGTCATGCTGGGGTTCATTTCTGGTGCCAGTCCTGGTAACACAAGATGCTAGAAGTCACCACTGCCTGTGCCATCAACTTCACTTTGCTACCCAGAGGAACTTGAGTTCTTGTGCCTGCCTGTGATTGTCATGCCTAGTGGTGCGGCTGTCATTTCTCCTGTTCTCTAAGCACCTCGTCTTTGTAGCATCAGCTTCACCCTGCAGTAAAGCATTAAGTGCTTTTGCCAAAAAAATGAAACTTGGAATGAAATGTTTCGTTGCTGTCATGTATGTCCGTAGTTAATAACCTGTGGCTATTGAGGCTGCAAGCATTTTGAACAGTAATGTGAGGTAGGTATCAATGCTTCCTTTCAACAGGAGCTCCTAGGAAAGTTCTAAGACTCTAAGAATAAAATTATTGAAACTCCTCTCAGCAGATGTCCTGTAGGAGGAAGTTCAGCATGGTAACCTATGAAGGGGGAATTGGCAAGGCTTTGGTATTCAATAGTTTGTATCATGCCTATGGGGCTGCTTGTCAACATCCATCGTAGAGGCTTATGTGGTGATGGTTCTTAATATGAGCTTGAGTTTGATGCCCCACCATTGTACCAAGGAAAAGCTAATCTCTCTAAATATTAACATTTTGAAATCCTGTTTATATTTCAGAAGCACATCTATCCTATCAAAATCATGACAGCCTGACTTTTTAAAATAATTCAGGATATCGATATGTGATAAGCTATCTTTAGGCACCCAAGTGACTTGGAGAGTTGACTGTCCATCACTATAATAAAAACATAAAGAAATATTCTTACACACACATCCGATACACCCACAACACCTTTTTTGAAACCAAAAGAAACCCTCTATTTACATAATCTGTAGTCACCCCATGATTATCTGTTTGTAAGTCCGAGGTACTCTGACCACTTGGGCACTTTAGAAATTACAGTTGCTGCCTGTGGGTATAATGAGAAGAGTGTGGATTTGGGAATCAGACACATGGAGTGAAATCTGGGCATGTGGCTGGAGGTAGGCCCTCCTCACCTTACCAGAAGTAAAATGGCAATAGCAGCATCCACACTACTATGTGGGCCTGAGGCTTCAGCTTGATGTCTGAAGGACCTAGCTCATTGCAGACATTCAGTAAGTCATTACCAAATATGTTTATTCAGAATAAATAGGACCACACAACTTCTGGAGACCCTTCTCTGTATGAAAGCATTGACTTGGGGTTCCTTTAATGAACTCGTTTATGCTTGATGGAGCAATTACTGTAAGCACCAGTGTCCTCACACCCCTTTCCCTGCCTGGCTTCTGAGATGTGATTCATGGCCACCTATTTGTGTGCTAAAACGAGATGCCACGAGTTATCTAATTAAAACATCCTCAGAGCTCTAGCAGCAGCTCGTTTTATTGCTTCTGTCCTGTCAAGGTGGGGGCTTTGACATGACACTGTCATGAATCAACATGTTATAAATACGCCCAGTGACGGTTCTTTTGAGCTTTTACCAATCTTGCTCCCTTGATGGATTTCCCTCCAAACTAAAAGGCATTGCAATTTTCCCCAAAGGCAGCTAAGTAGCAAAAAAGATTTTGAGAAACTTCGTAAGTTGCAGGGTGTGGAGTGATCTGATTTTTTTTTTTTACATCATCTTTGGATGTATATTTTCTCTTCATATGTTTATCATCAGCCCCACAGAGTTGATTTTCATAAGTGTTGTTCTTAGCTAATCCCTGCTGTCCCCTGTCTGTCCAGGTATACTCCCACCTCCCAGCTTCGCACACAGGAAGATGCAAAAGAATGGTTACGGTCTCACTCTGCAGGCGGCCTGCAGGACACCGCTGCCAACTCGCCTTTTTCCTCTGGTTCCAGTGTAACTTCTCCCTCAGGAACAAGGTTCAACTTCTCCCAGCTTGGTGAGTTGTCACTTGTCATTAACTGTTTTGCTTTGCTCCATAGGGTAGAGGTTATCTTATATTTTGAAAGAGACATGGTCCCATCACTCTCAGTATCTAATCAGTCCTTAGCAATATAGTTTGTTTATAGAAGATTTATAGCCAAAGGAGTAGGGAAAATAGAAAAGGTTTTGGTACTCTGTTCAGTAATTTTCTTTACCTGGTAGATCTAGGTAGGGGTAGTGTACAGAGAAGCAAACCATTCTATTCTTGAGAAGCTTGTGTTCTGTTTCTTTTTGGTTATTCTCCTTGCTTTATTAAGCAGGAAATAAAAATCAGGTTTTAATCAAATAAGTATTCTTGGAAATGCCTACTGCTGACAAGATGCTGTGACTGGCACAATGGGGAAAGGAAAAGAAATTGTGCAATTCTGGCTGATGTATCAATGAGTTCCTTTTTAGAGAGACAAACACGCCTACACAGACTTGTAAATGGTATAAAAGAGAACAGTCAAAAGTTACATATGAGCAGAATGTGATCAGATAGCAAGTATTATATACAGTTGTAAACAGGCAAGATCAGTCCTGGCTGGAATTACGGGGGAGGTTACATAAGGGTGGCAGGGTGGGAGCTGGAACTGGTAAGAGGGGGCATAATCTTTCCAGTCACCTATTGCTCTTTAGACAGGTAGCCTTTCTGAACATGGTGAAACAAACTCAGAGTCTTAAAGGACTGGTGTGTTTTGTAATTGAGTAAGACCTAACTCTTTTTTTTTAAGTTTTATTTATTTATGCATACAAGAACTGGGGTACACGTCAGAGGTTCTGGGGGTGAGAGGGTTCACCAGAGACAGAGTGGGGAGCAGAACAGGCAGTTCTACTGAAAGACACTGCTGAGGGGAGCAGCAGGCTAGTCAGGGGAGGTCTGCTGTGTCATGTCATGTGGGTCACCTCCCTGGCCGGGGTTCGAACTCGTGCTGCAGTAGCTGCGGATTGCTTCATAGTGCTGACGCTTAACTCCTTTCGCCACCAGGGAGGCCCCTAACTCTTTATTTTTAATTAACCAAGTGGATACTTTGGAAAATAGTGCGTTACTATGATTTTAATAAGTCCAGTTTGACTGAAGTTGTATGCCTGCCCCCTCTGCACTGACCCTCTCTAAGGCATCAATATTAAGTGTTTCCCATCTGCAGCAATGAGATCGGTGTTCACAGTGTCCTTTCCCAGCCGTAACTCTTTGAGGCAAGAGTTTCTTGTCATGCACAAATGCTTCCCATCTGATCAAAAGCCCGGTTGAACTATTTTGGGCTTTTGGCTTTAGAGAGAATTGTTCCAGATGAGCCTGGGGAGTAATTAGCTCATGCCTGGAAGGTGACACTAGCTTGTCTGAACGTGCCAAGTTGCAAAGCTGAGGCCCAAAGCCTCAGCTTTGGAACTGACCCACCTTTCTTTCCTTATTTTTAGCTCTAAATGTATAACTCAAATGCTGATGTGACTACCTTTGAGGAGATAGACAAGGGAGAGAAGTTGGCAGGGATGGATATGGCTGATAATAAGCAGTTGCCTCTTTGTCCCCATCCAGGACTTGAACAGAGACGTGAATTTCCAACCTTTTGATTCTGTTGCTTTCATTCCAGCGAGTCCCACCACTGTCACCCAGATGAGCTTGTCCAATCCCACCATGCTGAGGACCCACAGCCTCTCCAACGCCGATGGGCAGTATGACCCTTACACTGACAGCCGCTTCCGGAATAGTTCCATGTCCCTGGATGAAAAGAGCAGGACCATGAGCCGTTCAGGCTCATTCCGGGATGGGTTTGAAGAAGGTAAGAGGGAGACTCATCTCTCGGTTATGAGGTGTGGTTAACGGTCCTCGATGCCAGGTTTACTTTGTTGACCTCAGAAGCCCCCCTGCAAAGTGCTTACAGCTCTCCCACTTCCTCTGGTGGTCGGGGCTGGAGAACTCTGAGTAGTAGGGTCTGGCTTTTAATTAACCCCGCAGGACTTCAGAAGAGGCTACTGAAAAAAACACTGGTGAACCTTAGAGCTGACTGAGTTGGGCTCTCGACTTCTCTCCTTGGCCTTGGGCCATGGTTTCTTGGCATGCGCCTCCATCTTGAGGTTGAGCCTCTGGCTCACCGTCTTGGCAGTAGGTTACGGGAGAGTTCATTTCCCTGTGCTGACACAGCCATGCCTCTGCTCTGCTCCAGAATTTTCTTTTTCTTTTCTCAAATCCAGCTTTTTACCTTTACTGCATTCAGTTGTGCCGTCTTCCGTCTTTGTTTATTAGTGGAATATTTTGGGTTGATTTTAATGTTTCATTCATTTTAATCAGAATTTTGGAGAAAAATTCTGTGGGCAACTTTGCCAGTCAGTTGCCTAACTCGATCTATTTCTCTTTACCTTTGTTCACTTCAAGCTCACACTTTCAAAGTGTGAGTTAGGAAAGCAAGTAGTCAAAATGCTGTGGGGGGACATCACCTCTAACCCCAAAAGCTTCCCAGCAGTGGGGCTGATAGCACACTGGCAGCAGCACTCACTGATAACCGGTTAAGAACATGAAGTGACACTAACGGGTTTGAATTCCAGCTCCTCTCCTCTTAGGTATACAATCTTGGCAAGTTATTCACCTCTCTGTGCCACTATGTTTCACTAATAAACTGAGAAAAATAATAGTACTGAGCCAGAATGATGAGAATTAAATAAGATAATGTATAGTAAATGTTAACCCAGTAATGTCATTATAGGAAACAGTGTATAGACCCAGCTTCAGCTTTGGTGTCCTGGCAGCTGGAAGCCCCCAACCAGAGCAAGAGGACCCTTGAGCAAATGGAGCCAAGGCCATATCCTGAGTTGTGGCCCCTTTTTGCCAGCTCCTGAACAGAATGTGGGAGGGGCTTCCCTCTGCTCCCATTCCCAGTGAGAGTAGGGAAATTCGCCCAGCATTCTTGCTGGTAGAAAAGAACAAAGTTGTGCCATTATTTAGGAAATCCCTCAGCAAGTCAAGGGGGAGAGAAATACAGGATACGGGCTTCTGATTTTGCCCTATATTCTTTTTAATACAGTTTTTGAAGAGTTTAGTTACAGAGCTCTTAGCCCCTGGGTAATCTTCCTAGTGACTTAATTCTCTCCACCCTGATTTATGTATCGTTTGTATCCAGTGACATCCAGACTTGTGTGAGCAGACACAAGTCTGTAAATCCATATATGGGAAGCTGCTAGGAGAGGGGATTATAGTGGGGTGGGGAGAGGTGGAGCCCGGGTTACTGAGAGTGTTTGGGTGGATTTTAGAGCTAGAATGTAGTATTATAACCACTTCGAGCAGTAAGAGTAGAAGATATGCAGACCCTAAGGTGAAGGAGTAGGGAGTTTGTCTTGAACTGTTTGGAGTTGGTGTTCTAGCCAGGGTGGTCCTGGAGCCTGCCCAGGCCTCCTGACGACGACCTGCATGTGGCATGTGTCCCGTGTGGTATTCGTCTTCTCTATAGAGTGTGTATCTGAGTGCACCACATTCGGTACTAAAACTTGTCCAAACAAGCACATCTCGCCTCATAAAGGTCCCGGACCATTACTGTATCATCATCAGGTAGCTTTTATTTATTCCATCTGGAGTCAAGCTGCAGGCAGCACAACTGGGGGCCTATCTGGGATGTCAAAGTGAGATTGATACAAAGCACTTGCCCACAAGCAATGTCTAGACTTTTGTAAATGTAGTGATTCATGGTGATATGGAACTGGAGCACAGAGGTAAGAAGGGGTGAGAGTGTAGGATTGTTGTCAATACACTAGAAACATGACATGTTTGTCTTTTGGGGAGATTTGGCATCTTTGATTCTATTTCTTCCAAGCTATTAAGTTACACAAACGAAATAGGACTTAGGCAATTAGGTATTTTAAAAAAAAAGATTTATTTTATTTATTTATGCATCCAAGATTTGGGGTGGGGTGTGGGGAGGGGTGTGAGGATTCACCAAAGACAGACTTGGGAGCAGAACAGGCGGATCTACTGAAATACACTGCTGAGGGGAGCAGTGGGTGAGACAGAAGAGGTCTGCTGTGCCATGTGGGTAGCTCCCTGGCCCGGGATCGAACTCATGCTGCAGTGGCTGCCCATAGCTTCATAGTGCTGAGACCCAACCCCTTGTGCCACCGGGAAGGCCCAGCAATTAGGTATTTTTAATTCTAGTGAAGGGAGAATTTGTTTTTCCTTTTGAATATATAAACTCCCTGTTTTGCAGAAACATTTCAGGGAGTGGAGGGGGTGGGGAGAGGGAGGATATCACATCTCTCATTTGGACCAAATAGAACATCCTTTATAAGAGTCAGTTAGACTCTTTCTACACCAGAAAGCAGAATAGAAGGCAACTGGGATCGGAGGGAGGGAGGGAGGTAGGAGCACAGGAGACTGTGGTGATGGTGCATGAGTGATTGGTGAAGGAAATTCTATGGGGACTACAACTGAGGTGGGGGGGAAGCAAACATTGTTTAAAAATGAACAATGTGGGGCCTCCCCGGTGGCGCAGCGGTAGAGCGCTGGGTTGCGAAGCTGCCCGCAGCCTCTGCGGCGCCGGTTCGATTCCCGGATGCTCCCCGGCCACCGGAGGAGGGTCCCACATGGTGCGCAGACCTCTCCTGCCACCCGCTGCTCCCCTCAGCAGTGTACTTCGGTCCTTCTGCCTGCTCTGCTCCCCGCTCTGGCTCTGGTGAATTCTCTCACCCTCCCGCGCTTCTGACTGTACCCAGTGCATGTATAAACAAAACAAATGAACAAACAAATAAATAAATAAATAAAACATGCCTCTATATAAAAAAAAAAAAAAAAAAAAAAAAAGAACAATGTGGCCTCCCTGGTGGCACAGGCAGTTGAGCGCAGTGCTGTGAAGCTGTCCGCAGCCTCTTGCAGTGCCGTTTTGATCCCTGCCGGCCGGCGAGGGTCCCACATAGTGAGCAGACCTCTCCTGTCTCGCCCGCTGCTCCCCTCAGCAGTGTATTTCGTCAGTCTGCCTGTTCTGTTCCCCGCTCTGTCTCTGGTGAATCCTCTCACCCTCCTGCGCATCTGGCCTGTACCCCGGCTCTTATATAAATAAAATAAATCTTTAAAAAAAAAATGAACAATGATGTAAAATATATAAATAAAAAAGAAAAACAAAGAATAAAAAGGAGAACAGAAATTTAAGAATTAGCACACAAGTACTTGTGTGAAGTTTTTGTGGTATTTACTTAGTACTTTCCATTTTGAAGGAAGTGGGAATCCTAAATATGTACATTAGGTACAGGTGTGGCCCAGATGCAACCTTTCAAAGTTATTTCAGGTAAATTCATTTCCATCTGATATGTTACACAATCTTAGCGTCAACCTGAATAGCATGAGTTTCGAGAGATGCTTGAGGCATATTTAAAATGGATATCTTTGGAGGAAAAATAATCCAGTGGCTTTAGCAATCATCCCTAAGAGTTAGTATGATCTAAATCAGTCCATATGGAACCCACAGGAGCAGAGCAGCCTATTAATAAAGAAATCTTGTGTTGCACTTGTGTTTCTAGTCCCCGATTTACAGTTGTGGTTCAAATCCTGGACCTCTTCTATGAGCCATGTGACTCTGAGTAAGGGACTTGACCCTGCTCAGCCTATTTCCTGTTCACTAAAATGTGGAAAATTATCATGCCAGCTTCAAGGGATTGGAATGAAGATTAGGTGAGATAAGTCCTGCAAAGCACTTAGCAAAATGACTTTAAAAGGGCTTATAGTAAGTACTCACTCGGTGATAGTTATTGTTATAATTGGATAATTGGCATGTTTTGTTTTATCCTTCTCCCCAAGGGCATTTTACCCCCAGTTTGTTTATGGCAAAATTTGAGGCAGAAGAAGTGACTTGAGGACTTTATGCAGCCGGGATTAGGTCTTAACCTCTTGATTCTTAGCCCTCTGTTTCTGCACTCCGTCCTACCTTGATGCTTGGCTCTGCCTTGGTTGCAGCTGGACTTTCTTACCTGTCTGAGGTCAACTCTGATCCTTCATCAATGTGCCCCTGTTATCTGTTGTGCTTCCTGTGCTGGCTAAAAGGCCCATCCGTCAGCCATTAGAACTGCATGGTTCCTTCCACAGGACCAGTGGTAGAATGAGAACTGGGGAATGATGCCTAGATTTGCATTCTGCTGACCCTGTTCAGGAATTGCTGTGTGACCCTAGGCAGGTCAATGAACCTGGGTTTCAGATTACTCAGTGACAAAGACGGCCTAAATTGGCCTCCCCTGGTGGCACAGCGGTTGAGCGCTGGGCTGCGTGGCTGCCCGCAGCCTCTGCAGCGCTGGTTCATTCCCCCCCCCCCCCCCCCCCCACGGCGAGGGTCCCACAAAAAAAAAAAAAAAAAAAAAGATGGCCTAAATAGTCTCTGTGGTTGCTTATACTTTCAGATTTGGGAGGTGTAGGTATAAGGAGGGAAATGTTTGGCCTGCTTTTGTTGTTTTGGCTTTGTAAATCTCACATGTGTCTTGTTGTCCAAAAGTATCCAAGCCATATAATCCAGACTATGACTTGGCTTCATTCACTTGAAGGACATCCAGTCCAACTGCAACGGTTCAGACAAGTCATACTCAGTTTGAGACTGACCGTGGAAATCAAGGAATCTTTCTTTGGATTCCAGCCTTGCTGTTGCTATTTACCAAGTGAGAGGAGTTAATTATGGAGAAAAGTAATTACCTCCACTCAATGCTTGCCAGATGTGCTCTTCATGTATATGAGTTGGAAAAATAGAAGAGGAAGAAAACTTCCATTTTCCAGCAGCAAGAGGCCATCCAGACCTCTGGAGCAGGCATTGGCAGGACAGTGTGGTCCCAAGAGCTGACTGAAGGGTGGCTGCTCTTTCCCCAACTCCACCTCAGTCTCTACAGCACAGTCTAGCATGGGGCTGAAGTCACCTACCCTTGGGAACTTCAAGACATTAAGTTGGGGTGGGAGAAACTATTTAGAATGTGGCCATATTGACTCTGAATCACATTATTGATCATTAACACCTTAAGATGATTTTTTTTATGGGACATGGTCAGATGAGCCATGGAGGCAGAGAAATGGAAGAAAAGATCTAGAACCTTGGGCATTACTAAGGAAAGTGGATGTGAATGATGGTGCAGGCCAGAGTAACAGTCTGTGCCTGCCAAGAGAAGAGGTCTGGCAGGGCAAGCCGAGGGCTCGGTGGGTGCATAGGAGGGAGGACACTCACCCTGCCCAGATGGCAGGCAGAGAAATGGGGAGAGGCTCGTGGCGGTGCTAGTGAGTCGATCCCAAAGATTTGGACCGACTGCAGTGGCAAAGGAGCAGGGTGTGCTTGAGAGCAGAGTGCAGGGTTCAGAGTGTGCGATAGGAACACCTGGAAGAAGGATGCAAAGTCGGGAGGTTTATTGAGACTAAGGCAACTCGGTGGTAGGCAGTTGAGCTCTCTGTTACCTCTCTTGTGGGCAGGTAGCGTCTGCCAGCTGCTGATCTGGGTAGAGTTTGCTTCTTGGGTGGTAAGTGAAAGGCATTTAGTACTCATGGAAAGTTGCTCCTAAGCCTCCTGCTCTTGGGCCACAGGTGATAGTGGGGGTAGAGGCATCCCCCTTCCCTGCCTGTGGTCAGGAAAGCTGCATCCAATTAAGAGGTCCCTGTGATGTCTCAACAGGAATATTTCTGTCTTTCAAACAAGTTGTTGAGATATTACCAAGAAATTGTCCTTAAAGGGTCATGTTGTTCCCCAAGAGAGAAGTCAGCCAGAATACCTAGTCCTAGAAAAGACCCCTTTGGAACTGCAAGACATTAATTTGGGGCAGGAGAAACCTGTTAGACTGTGGCCATATTGACACTGAAAGACATTATTGACCATTAGCCCCTTAAACTGATTTTTTTTTTAATGAGACATGGGTCAGATGAGCCATGGAGAGAGAGGAATGGAGGAAAAGATACAGAACCCTGGGCATTGCTATGGAAGGTGGATGTGAATGATGGTGCAGGCGCAGAGTAACAGTCTGCTTTAAAATGAACAGTAAGGGCCTCCCTGGTGATGCAGTGGGTCAAGCGCAGCAGGTTGAGCGCAGCACTGTGAAGCTGTCTGCTGCAGTGCAGGTTCGATTCCCGGCTGGCCAGGGAGAAACCCACATGGCGCTGGCAGACCTCTCATGTCTCTCCGCTGTTCCCCTCAGCAATGTTTTTGGTCATTCTGCCTGTTTTGCTCCCCACTCTGTCTCTGGTGAATCCCCTCACCCTCCCGCACCTCTGGCCTGTACCCCAGTTCTTGTATAAATAAATAAACTTTTAAAATTTTTTTAAAAAAGTTTTAAAATGAACAGTAAGCTTTAAATAAAGTAAGCTTTAAAATTACTTAAAAAGAAATGATCAAGTGTCTCCACTGACTGGGAGCAGGGAGGGGTGCTAAAAGGGCAGAGAGGTTTTGAATCAGAAAATACTCATCAGAAACAGAGAGAACCATTTGCTTGTCACTGTGTAGACATCATAGAAATCAAATGAAGCATCCATTTTTCAGTGGATATGTTTTTTAAACAAATGTTCTACTACATGGTTATCTAGAGTAAGTTTCCTGTGTCTACTAGCTTCCTACGTTCAACATTATCAGCTCATCTTTTTGCATATACAAGTGACAGGTGCTCACAGGATATAAAACATATGTGCAACACAACCTGAAGGAATACATTAGAAAAAAGTATATGCTGGAGCAGTCAGAGGCTGCCTCTGGGGAACAGAATTATGAGTCATGCAGGTTAAGGCAGTAAATGCTTCTTAACACTTTGTTGTACTTGAAAACTTTCACTCAGCAATTATGTGTTGTTTTGATGCTGAAGAAAAAGTATTTAGAAAGTTGTAAAAAAAAAAAAAATGGCAATAGAGTAGTGACTCCCTTAGCAAATTATCAATTGTTGTTGACCTGTCACGGAATCAGAGAAGGGTGGGTCGAGATGAGAGATTAAGTTGCTCCAGTCTGGTAGTGCCCTCTAATACTGAGTTTCTCCTCTCCCCTTTCAGCATCTATTGCAACCAACTGTGCAATTAACCTTTTCTTTCTTTTCAATAGTTCACGGATCCTCGCTCTCCTTGGTTTCCAGCACATCATCAATTTATTCAACAGTGAGTATAAATCAATGCAATGTGTCTGTGATCATGAGCGCCAGGGTCGCCTTATCAAGTGTGTCAGGAATAAAAGATAGCATTTCTCCTAAAAAGAGTATTTCCATTATAAGGTGGACAATTCATTAGCGAACATGAATTGAAATTCACAAATAGCTATTGATTACAATATACTGACCAATAAGCTAGAAACTGACTCCTTTGTTAAAGTAGCATTGTGCTTTGGGTGATACCAAGGTAGAATGTTTGAGAAGCCTTGGCCTCTTGCTGGTAGACTTCAAACAGGGCCTTGAATAACTCATTAATCTTTTGTCTGCCTCACTTTCTTTTTCAGTAAAGTAGAAAGATTAGTAGTCCCTACCTTGTGGTGGTGTAATGATGAACAAATATTTTGAAGACTATTTCACTACAATATAAATTCCTTGAGGAAAAAGATTTCTTCTGATTTTATTCTAGTGCTCAGGGCCCATCACAGAGTAGTGTGCTAAGAATAGGTTAGAATGAAATAAGAAAATTCTGTGAAGCAATAAATATAGTGTGTACAACACAGAGTAAGCATTCATAAATGTTAGCTGTCATCAGTGAGAGGTCTACTGAACAAAAATCAAATATGGTACAAGCTTTGTTCCGTGGTGCTTGCTTTTTATAGCTATGTGAATAACTATCTCAAAAACATAGATTTGGGGATATAGGAAAATCATTTTATTAATTAATAATTGAAAATTCTTTAGTCTCTAAATCCATGGAGGACAACTGTCTTAAGAATTCAGTTTCTGGGCCTCCCTGGTGGTGCAAAGGGTTAAGCGTCAGCACTATGAAGCAATCCACAGCTACTGCATCATGAGTTCGATCCCCAGCCAGGGAGGTGACTCACATGGTACAGCAGACCTCTCCTGTCTTGCCTGCAGTGTATTTCAGCCAGTCTGCCTGTTCTGCTCCCCACTCTGTCTCTGGTGAATCCTTTTACCCCCTGCATCTCTGGCTTGTACCCCAGCTCTTGTATACATAAATAAATCTTTAAAAAAAATTCAGTTTCTGTTAATGCTAGGTTTGAAGCCACATAGCTGGAAAATCTGTATGTAATCCCTTGTAAGTAAAGGACCACCCCAGAATCAGATAAGGAGACCAGGAGCTCAATGTTCTTTTTGAAGCCTGTAGTGAACAGATTTCAGTGATGGCATAGTCTGATTTCAAGGGTCTAGAAGTGAACTCTTTTTCTACCCACCTCACCCCACCAACTTCAGAATACTTCTTTCCTCAGCAGGTCATCTTGTCTGAAATTTCGTCACAGAATTCTGCTTTTCATTTTGAAAGCTTTGTGTCTAGTAACCTTGGAGAGGGGATATTTAAGCCATTATCTACCATAGAGATGACCTTCTTGCAGTCAGCTAACGGATAAGCTTAGTTTTTCCTTCTAGAATAAAAAAACTGCAATGTGGGTATGAAGGACAGTATCTTCAAAGCTAGATTCACTTTTTCAGCCGTATGTACTGGCACTAAGTATATGCAAGACTCTGGGCCAAGCCCTGGGGATATGGCTTATGTGGAGAGAGAAATCTGCTGTGGAAAGCAGGAAGCCAGAGGAAGCACCAGAAGACTCGAGGGACATGGGTACTCTAGTGATACAGGGTGGGTGCAGAGCAGGCAAACAGGAGCTCAGGCCCCATGTTTTCCTGGTGGAGTCCCAGGGCTTCCTGTCAAACAGAGGGGGTGTGCTCTGCTCAAAAGAACAAAAAATGGGATGCTGCCCTGCGCCAGCCAGCCTTGGAGGGGACAAGCACTAGCTGCTCTGCCTGTGAGAATTCATGAAGGAAACTGGAAGTTTTCACAGTCAGAGGCTGCTTTTCCAGTAGTTCTTGTTCTGGGTGTGTGCACATGGTGTTTTGTGAAATATGAAATTGATTGTTAGAAATTCTGGGCTGATCCAAACTCATAAATGACCAAAGACCTAATAATTCCATGTTCATCTGGATAGTAAAAGTTGAGATTTAATCTTTGTTTTTTCCTCACTGTATGACATTGTATAAATCATCCCATCATTCTGGGGGTTTCAGCTTAGCTCTTAGTATCAAGGAACTAGGTGAGGTGGTCTCTGAGGCATTCCACCAGTCATGGAGTCAAAGGTTGCCGTTGAATGTCCTGTACAAGTGCCTTCTCTGAGAGTATATGTGACTTTTAAAAAATAGTCTAACATTTGACTGTTTTCAGATTAGAGTAGTCTGCTAATTCCAAGGAAAACTGTTAAGTCTTGCTAGACTCTGCGCTTTTAATGTGTGATCCCTAATCTATTGTTAGCTGCTTGGTGATGATGAAATTCTGACGTGAATTCTCAGGTACCTTTGTAAATGTTGGGGTAAACATGTTCTTATTTGTATCTAAACTGAGAATTTCAAGTTATTTGCCACCATCCCAGACCAGAGTCTGTTTTATAGGCTCTTATTGGAAGATAATCGGCCCACCCATCCCAAAATCTTTGTAATTCTTAGATATTCAAGAAAGTTCATTCTGGCTGAAATTTGCTGTGATTTTTAATTACAAAGAAAAGAAAAGGCAACATGATCTAAACAAACAACTGCCACGGAGAAGTCATGGCCAGCCCTTGAAATAGAGAAAATCAAAAAGGCCACATCTGGCATTAAGCTTACTCTCAATTGAGCAGCAGTTGAGTTCCCAGGGGAACTACTGAATGGAGGGAGGCCCAGAGCTGCTCACTGAGCTCCCAGATGTACAGAAAAGCTGCAGCAGCTGGGGGCAAAGATACAAAGCATGTCATTTCTCTAGGCTGCTATGGAGAACTTGGGCCCAGCCACAGGGACAGGTGGACACAGTGACAGACAATGGCAGAGGTGTGGGAAGAAGTTTGGACCTGTTGATAGAGGTATTTAGAAGTAGAATTGGTCTTACATGGATGGTTCAGCCTGTAACAGGCCTCCACCAGCCTCCCAAATGATAGACAGCTGTGACAGCCTTAGCTTTGACTTTCCTCCTTTGACTCAGACATCAGGAACCTTCTTTATGGAAGCTTCCATAGAGTGTAGCTATAGTAAAGGGAGTTATGGAGCAGGAGACTGTGCTGGTGAAAAGCAAAGGCTCTGAAGTCAGACTAGCTTGAATGCCCTTCCGTTCTACCATTTAGCAACCATGACCATGGGTAAATTACTTAACCTCTCTGCATCTCAGTTTCTTCATCTGCAAAATAAAAGACAGCATTATTAGTACCTATTCAAGGGGATGTTAATAAGGATTAAAGGTGTAATGACTATACAGTGTTTGCAAGAGTTGCCTGAACATGGTAAGATTCAGTAAATGCAAGTTATTATTACCAGAATGTAAGCAACATGAGGTCAGGGACTGGGTTATGTTCATTGCTATACCTGGGTTTTTAAAACAGTGCCCAGTACATAATAGAAAATCAATAAATATTTGGTAGGTGGTAGCAGTGGTGATGAATGGGTAGACAACTGGATAAAGAGGAATGGATATATACTGTCTGGAAGGGAAGAGTATGTTCTGGGGATATCCCCCAACCTCCTGAGAGTGTTCCTTACATGAGGAGATTGGTCAGCTGGCTGATTTGGGCAAGATTTGTGGGCCTCAGGAGGACTACAAAAATCTTCTTTAGGGAGTTACTACGAGGTTTAAATGATTTGGCCCCAGAGTACCTAAAAATTAACTGTTGTTGTTAGATGCCAACCAAGAGGGAGGGGGGGGGTTCTTTGGCTGGATCAGGAGTGAGAGCAGTAGAGATCAGTGAGTGAAGGGTGATCAGACAGGAAGCAGCCACCCACTTGCCCAGGCTGACTGGGGTGGGGTCTTTGGATCTAAAGAATCATACCCTCTGCATTTTGAACTAGTAGAGAATTAGACACAAGAGTCAGATCCTGATTTTAAAAAATAATGGGCTTATCGATAGTAAAACTGGCTTAGGACACAGGGTGAGACCCCAAGAGCAAAATATTGTCCTTACTGACATTCACTCACTTACCTGGCTCCTAAGTCGCTGCTCCAACCCAGAAGATGTTTAAGGTGGGTGGAGCGAAGGGCAGGAAGAAACACTAAAAACCTTTCCAAGAATGTGGGAGGAGCCTTCTTTTACGAGCCCCCAGGGAACCTGAGGACCGGGAAAGAAAGGTTTCCCCCTGCAGCAGGTTTCTTCAACTTGCGTAGGTTCCCCCTATGGGAGGAGAGAGTTAGTCTTTTAGTTGCTGGCTGGCAGTTAGCTGTGTCATCACAGACAGGGAAGCATGGAAGCCTCTGCCAGTAAGAGGGTTCACAGGCTTTACCCTATCTCCCCAGGGCCACAGGTAATAGGGGGACTCAAGGTGGGGGTGGGCAGCAGGCAGGGGAGTCACCAGGCTAGCTGATAGGAGTTCCCAGCCCCCTGTCCTGTTGCTGCTCCTGCTACAGCTCCTTACAAAAGGGAGGAAAATTGAGGCAGAGTTAACCTATAAGCACTCCTTTCTGTTCTCCAGGTTGCCGAAACACCCAGTTAAATTTGAAATTCAGAATAATAGCAATGTTTTAATATAAGTGTGTCCCTAATGTTACATGGGACATACTTAAACTTCAAAAAATTCTGATTTAGCTGAGTGCCCTGTATTTTTATTTGCTAAATCAGACAACCCTACCTTGGCTCACCCCTCACACACTTTTTCTTTAGTACCTACTCTTTTCACCATCTCCACATGGTAGAAGGGGGTAGGGAAGGGAGGGTTTCTCACAACCAAAATAACTAGAATGTCTTCCTAATTCTTCCTCATTTCCTGATAATCATAACAATTTGTATTTAGGCTTTCTTTTGGTCTTTTTAATTGAACCAGTTTATCCAGAGAAATACAGCAGAAGAGAAACTAGTAAATTTTTACGATTGCTCTAAATATCCAAATATGGTATTCCTGAAAGGCAGGACAGTAGTGCTCTTTGTTGCTCAACTGGTCTAATTTCCCTTGTGTTTCTTTACAGCCAGAAGAAAAATGCCAATCAGAGGTAAGAATGAGTTTGCTCTTCCCCATCGTTTGCTCTTTCACCATCAGTTATTTTGCCAGCTCCACCTGGGCATGGGCTCCCAAAGCAAGTTAACTCTGTCCTTCGTTTTTAGATTCGCAAACTGCGGAGGGAGCTGGATGCCTCCCAGGAAAAGGTTTCAGCTTTGACCACCCAGCTGACAGCAAATGTGAGTAGAGAGTGGTGGCCTGAGGGAGGGCAGGCAGCCTTCTGAGCCCCTGCCCCCCAAACACTGTAGGAGCAGCATCACAGTGTAATCACAAGAACACAGGCTTGAGCTTCATGGGGTATGAAGGGTGGCTCCGACACTTACTGACTCTGTGCTCTGGGCAAATTCTCTAGCCTCCCTCCAAGTCTGCATTTGCTTATCTGTACCATGGGGGCTGTCACATGATCGTATATGAAGTACTCGGTAAAATGTTAACTTTCTTTCCTCTTTCTGAACACTTTCACCTGGGGAGGGGAGAAAAAAAATGCCTCAGACTCCACAATAAATAGTTGGCTGCTCTGTAATTATAATAAACACAATTACCTGTTCAGGAAGAACTGCCAACCAACATTGAATTCAGCATCTGTTTCAGTGCCAACTATGCCCCAGGGCACTGTGGATTCAACAGCAAAGCAAGCACAGTCACTGTCATCTTAGTATTCTATCTCTGGTACAGAGCAGAAAGAAAAAATAGTTTTGTTGTAACATGATAAGAAATAAAAAGAGGAGGTTGTGGGAATACATAGGAGGAGCATTTAACTCAGTCTCTATGGAATGGAGGGAAGTCAGGAAAGACTTCCTGGAGGAGGTGACATCTCATGAATGCTCTATAGGAAAGAATCTGTGGGGAGGACAGCATTCTAACAAAAGAGAATAATTTATGCAAAAACCCAAAATGGAAGATCTTGGTGTGTTTGGAAACTAAGCAGCTCAGCGAGCTTGGATGTGAGGGGGAGTTGGAGTAGAGGGGAGATTAAAGTGGGGAGAGAAGAGGCATCAAAGAGATGGAGAAGTCACATTGTGGAGGGTGTTAGTTGTTAGATAGAGTTTGGGCTTCCTGCTGAAGCTGGTGGAGCCCCATCAGTAACTTTTAAGCAGTAAGTGAGGCAGTTACGTTTGCTCTTAGAACACTACCTCATGGTGGTGTGACTATAGCATAAGCAGGGTCAGAAGAAAAGCAGCCACCCCTTCAGCCGGATCTGTAAAGGAACGTGCTGCAGATCTATGAGTGGAGAGGCTGAAGCTCAGAAGCTAGACTGAGGTTTGGGCAGGTGCTGGAGTATTTCTGGGTGGAGGCTTCTGGCCTGGAGTGCACAGCCCTGTCTGAGACCACAGCAACCTACACACCCCGCAGCATGCTGCAAAGTGACAGTAACTTCAGGAGGTTGTCCTCCTTGGACCAGGTCACACAGTCAGTCCTCTGAATGAATTGCAAACATGGGGTTTTTGCTCAGGTAACTCCTGACTTGAACCTGACTCTACTCAAGGAAATGGTTTTTCTTTCAAGTCTGCACATGAAGTGCCCAGCGCAGTGTTTGACCTTAACTACAGGCTCAGTAATTGGCAGCTGTGCTATTATTCATCCTTCTAGCCCTCTCACATTTATGGAAATCTTTAATTTTTTGCAGAACCCAAACATACTAGGCCACTGTGTGCTTTGTGATCCTTCTTTTTTTCTTGACCTCTTCCTGACCAGCAGTATTATCAAAAGAACATCAGAAAATGATGTGAGATCTGAGTTGTGAGCCTTAGAGCCTATTCAAATGGAAACAGCTGGGGGATTCTTCTGTGGGTCAAGTCTTCATCTCCGTAACTAGATGCAAACATTTGACTCCAGAACCCATCCCAGGCTCTCCACAGCCTGGGCCTCTTGGGTCTAATCCAGATCCATGAGGTTTGACAGAAACACCTCTCCCAAGTGATCCCAGCTATGCTCCTAGTTAAGAATCAGAGCTGTCTATTGCTGCCCCTGACTAATCATAAAATGGTAATTAATTTACTTATAAGTGCACTTGGATCAGTTCCTGCAATGACACCCCAAGAAATCTCACACTGGACCATTCGGTATTCCACTCTGTTCCACAGAGTCAGGATGAGATCCCTCCTTTATTACTATCCCACACGTGTGTTTTGCTCCTCACAAAAGCCATTGACTCTAGTATTGTTTTAAAGTAAATATTTAGTCTTACCACACTCCACTGGCAGTGCTGACGGGTTTTATTGTCTGCCATCCTTCTCACAAGCCAAGCTGTGTTTGTTTTTCTAGAATAAATTGCTCAAAGCCACCTTCCACCTTCTTCTACCACTCGTGTTTGTTTTCCCTGGGAAGAATGGCGCTGGGTGAGGAGGCCAGAATGGCTGCTATGTGGCTCTGGATGAGGTTGAACATCCTCGAGACCCTGTTTTCATAGTTGCCCTCATGACGCTCGATCAGTCCTCACTTGTCAGCAAAATGCGGTCCTCGGCTTCTTCAGGCAAATGTGGTTTCTTCTTGAGCTTGCAAAAAACACTTTCTCAGTAGCAGTCTGCGTGTCTTTCTTTGTAATTGAATAGGAACTATGAATGCCCACAAAGAGTCATGGGTGGCACTCCAACACATAATAAAATAAATAGAAGGTCAGTCATTTGAATGTAACCTTGTCATTCCTTTGAAATGCAAAGATAGCAGCCATTCTTTCAACATTCATATCCTGGCCTTGTTCCTTCCACCACAATGTGACTGTCTTGAATTGGTTGGCTTTGGTTTTGCCACATTCTCTAGGGCAAACTAAACATATCCCCTTATATTAAAATGCAGAGACATTTTTGCAATTTTTAATAGTGAGGGTGTGTAATCAGAGAGAGACTAGCTTATTCCACTTAATAGTTTGATTACAAGTACTTCATTACTGTAACAGCCAACTCCTATGGCTGTTGAGTAAAAAACTGCTGTTGATTCTAGAGCTGTCTTATCCAGCACTCTCTCTGTTTGATGAAGTGAATGACTGAAACCTCTGACTCAACCCTCAAACTCTCCTCCTTTAGTTGAAATGTCCACTGACCCTCCGCACAGTTAGGGGAGGAGCGTCTTCCTAACCTGCTTCTATTCTTTCTATATGTTTTAACCATCTTCTAGAATTTTTACAGCATGATCAAATCTTCCTTCTCCCAAGACACTTAGACATCCTGTGCTGGATCCCTCTGCATATCCACCCATTCGCTCCGTCTTTGGTCACTCTCTTTTCATGCCTCTTCCTTACCCCCCAGAGTCCATTCCTGTTCTGCAATTCCATGACAGTTTACATTTTCCCTTACATTGTTTCATTTAATATTTTTAATAGTCCTGGGAGGAAAATAGATATTGTTCTGACTTTACAGATGAAACCATATCCAAGAGGATTAATGACTTATCCATTCTTTATTCTTGATTTTAATATTACCAGAATCCTCAGTCAAGCAACTAATAGCCCATGTAATGTACTGCTCTGTGTCCCAGAAGAGGGCTAAGTGTTGAGACACAAAGTTGCATCATGACCTTGAAGAGGGTTGCAGAGAAGGTAGCAAAGACATCACATTTCTCAATTCTATAAAACAGTTCTGTTTCACATTTTTAACATTTGAAAATTGGATTCATATTTTAATTACAATCTACAGCATTTTAAAAATGGCTTAGCAGCATATGAAATCATGGTGCATCTGATGCTGTGTTCTCACAGAGGTATATAGAAGTTGCAGGGGAGCTCTGGGGAAAGTCATAACTTCCTAAGGGAATATGTCTCCAAGGAGGTAGCAGATGGGCCTTTCAATAGTTTTTTATTAGCCAGGATTATAACAAGCAAAATATGTCAACCGCTTTGTTCATTCATTCGACAAATGTGCTCAATGTGAGTCTCTATGGTAAACTTGGCGCTTGGTGGATGAAAGGTCTTCCTGCAATGAAATAGAGGACAGACATGAACCATCAGTCTCAAGCCTACATGTGTTCTTGACTATGATACCACAAAACACATATCAGCAGTCCAGTGTGCTTTTGAGAGTGAATATGAGGGAACCAGTCCATTCTGGGATGTCACAAAGGCATGAGCTGAGATCTCTTGAAAAGGATATGTAAACATTAGCGAGGGAGGCAATTAGGGGGAAAACATTCCAGATGGGGAAAGCCTATATAAATGCTCTCAGCGGAAGCAGCAATGGTGTGTTCAAGGACATAAAGACTAGAGTATTGGATCCCAGGCAGTGGTGGGGCATGGGTTAAAGAGGCTGAAGAAGTGGTTAGAAACTAACTCACATTGTCCTGAGAAGGACTTGGGATTTCAGATGCCAGCACACTGTAGCCACTCTGTCCTTGCAAAGTGGTATAACTCAGGCTGTCTTTCTCCGCAGGCTCATCTGGTGGCAGCCTTTGAACAGAGTCTCGGAAACATGACAATCAGGCTCCAGAGTTTGACCATGACAGCTGAGCAGAAGGTAAAGCAGGAAGGATACTTTTTTTTCCCTCCCTGCTTGGAGTTATCAACAAACCTAAAAATCTTATTCTCCTTTGTTTCAGATATTTGTAAATATTTCAGTATACCTCTTGAACTATTAGAGTTGAACCATAAAAGCTAGTCACTTGAGTCACAATATCACCATAGGACCTAGATTGAGTGGTGGTAACTGCATTGGCAACAGGTCACTTTGTCTATTCCTACTGTCTTCATGAGTCACATATACCAGTTCAAAATGGATCCAACTAATGGTTTAAGGCACAGGTTTTGTGGAACTCCTAATAACCCACCCTCCTCAACTGAAGCTAAATTGGACCTCAGCTGAACTCTCGAATGATTTTTAGGATGACCAATATTTTGCTCTGTTCCTCAGGATTCAGAACTGAATGAATTAAGAAAAACCATTGAGCTACTAAAGAAACAGAACGCAGCTGCCCAGGCTGCCATTAATGGAGTAATTAACACACCGGAGCTCAACTGCAAAGGTAAAGGAGTAGTAGCAGCCTCAGACTAACCACCTGCCTGCCCTTAGGAGCCCCTCCTGAGTGTATGAAGCCACCTCCCTCCCTGCCAGAGAGTAGGTACCCGTGTCAACTGGACAAGTCCAGAAAGGCAGACACTCATAATCCATTTACTTCTGGCTTCTAGGAATATAACTATTCCAGCTCACCCTCTTCTCAATGTTTCCTAAAAATGGAAGAAAATATATTTCTCAATGGATTGGCAAACTGTCAGATGCTTCACAGCCCTTAATTTCACTGACACTTTGATGTTTGCATATTGATGTGGGGTAAACTGAAATGGTTCCGTTTCTTATTTATCCAGGAAAGTACTTCTAAATGAACTGCTTTGTCCTTGTATCTAACTTGGTGGGGTGAGTGTAGGCATGAGGATGAGTTACCGACTGCATTAATAATATTAACAGTAATAAGAGCAAGACTAGTGATAGCTGACATTAGTGGAACACTCACTGTGTTCTACGCACTACACCCTATGTTCTAATTATCTCATTTTCTTTCTACAACAACCTTATGGGTTGGATGGATGAGAACACTGAGTTTCAGAGCCAAGATTGCTTCCAGAGGTCACAGAAAAGGAAAATTCTGAAATGTATTTTTAGGTCAATCTGTCTGACTCTGAAAACAGTGTTTCTCGAAGACTGGGCTTGGGTGTAGTTCTGCACTTGTAGGAAGATTATCTGCCAGCTTTATTTCTGCATCACAGCCATGTTGAGCAGGGCTATTTGTGGTATCACTGTAACTGCAGGTATCAGGCCTCCTGGAAAAGTGGTGATTGAGTTGAATTGGGAAGGACTGGCAGGAGCTGACTAGGCAGACTAGAGGGAAAATAGCAGTCCAGAAAGAGGGTACAGCACAGGTAAGGTCCTGAGATGAGATGGACTTGGCATTTCCAAAGGGCCAACAGGCTAGGGAAGCAAAAGAAGGGATGGCTGACCAGATAGGTGACTACTGCCACAATTCAAATACACAGTTTGGTGCCTAATTAAAGCTTTAGAGAGCTGGTGTTGGAGAAATTCTCTGTGAGTCACCCCAGACTCCTGTTTTGTTAAGTGGAAAGAGAGAGAGCCCTCCTTTGATTGACCAAAGAAGGCATAGCAACCACCTGTTCAAGAACCTTAAAAACCAGCATCAGGGAACAGAAAGTAATGCCTAAAGTGAAGCATCTAGTGGTCCTCGGGTGTGTGGACGTAAGTGTGGGGCTATCCCCAGGGAAAGAGCAGAGCTCAGGCTGCACTGCTCATCTCCTGCCTTGGGTCCCCAGGAAATGGCAGCGCCCAGTCTGCAGACCTGCGCATCCGCAGACAGCACTCCTCCGACAGTGTGTCCAGCATCAACAGCGCCACCAGCCACTCCAGCGTGGGCAGCAACATCGAGAGCGATTCAAAGAAAAAGAAGAGGAAGAACTGGGTGAGCGAATATCCAGAGACTCTCGTGGGGACTAACAGAGTCCATTTCGGAAACACCATCCCCCCAGATAGAGCCCAGGCTCACTCTTAGCTTCAGGACATTTCACCCTTGGGTGATAAACCCAAAGAAGTGGTTTGTGGATAGGTTTCTACTCAAATCAGTGTTGTGCCTGCCAAACACTAGGATTCATGAAATCACCACTCCCTTGAAGTTTTTCTGTTTCATAAGACTTGATGTGAGTTTTCATCTTCCATTTCATATGTGTCATTTCTTCCTCATCCTATGTTGGCCACAAAGTTTCAGGTTCTAGAGTGAAGCTGCTCTTCAATGGTTTCTCCTTAGTTAATTCCTCAATATTTTTTGGAGTGTCTGTACTAGTTACTCCCTCATTAACTATAATCTTTATCTATTTAGTTACACAGCTGCCCATAGCAGCATTAAATCACCCATCTCTGAAAATTTTGACCATGACCTATAAATAAAAGCTTCAGAATGTAATTTAGTACTTAACTGGGGGCAAGTGGATAGACCCAGTCTGCAATGAAGTGTTGTCCAACTTGCTATAAATCCCAATGACCTCCTTGACTTCCTGTACAGTGGTTTATTGAACAGTTCGCCTGTTCTCTTGGGAAAATTCTACAGCCCCCTTCCACTTTTTTTAAGTTTGCTGTTGAGACAGTGGCGTCCTGGTTCCCAGGTGGTGCTCCCTCTCTCAGGAGCAGGGATTTGCTGCATGGGTCCCATGTTGGCCAGTGCTCAGAGCCCCCTCTGTGAATGCTGACAGCACTATGCTCCCATAGTGACTTCAGTGTCTTCGTTCGTTCCATATACTTCTCACTCATTCTGTGTTATCTTGGATGGGTGGCGAGGTCTAGTGACAGAGTTGAGGATTGAGTAATTTGGGTTCCTGATGACTGGCATTGGAGGCTAGCTAAAACACCAGCTCAGTGCAACCCTCATCATTCTGATTAAATTTTTCCATTGTTACTAATGGCTGTTGGTCAGTTCATTTACTATGACAAACAAGTAGGATTAACTCCTCTTGCTGTTTCTAAAATTGGGGAGGATGATTCTGCCTGATCTTTGTACTCCTTGCTTCCACCTGCCGTTTTACCAGATGAGGAGGCTAGGCTTTAGGTTGGGGGCTTGTATAACAGATCCTCCTGTTTTTATGACTACACTTTGAAAATATGATCATAAGTAAGAATGGGAGAATAATGGGATCTAGATTTACCTATAACGTGTGGTCATAGATGAAACAGTGATGGGAGAAAAAACCCATTAATCCGCAATGGCCTATTTTCTGAATTTCTCAATGGCTGGGAAAAAAACCTTTTTCCCAGAATGATTAATAAATTTCTTTAAAATAACCTCTTATCTGTTGTTAACATTGAGAGGGCTAATTCCCTGTGTATGTTATCTCACATGTGTGCAAGGACAGCAGGAACTCGAAGTTTAACTCATAGAGATAAACAGTCATGTTGGGACTAGTGCAGCAGTAAAGTTACCCATGCTGAGACAAGAATACCTGCTCCCCCCCACCCGCCAAAAAAATAAAAAGGTTAAGGCATAGATGACTGATAAGACAAGAAAAGAGTGAGAGCTGCAAGAAGGTAGAAGCAGTCTTTTTAACCAGACATGGAAGCTAGAAGATCTTGGACTGTAGTGGACTTCCAGACCCATTGTTCCTTTTCGTTCATAATGGAGGCACAAGCCTTTTAAAGATTCATGATCCTACTGGAAACCTCCACTGTATGTGCTACTTATTATTAGCTATGTCATATCTGAAAAGTCCAAAGCTTTCCCTATCACTGGCTTTCTCTGTTAAAAATTGTCTTTTTTCCTTCCCCTTCCCCATGTTTGCTTACGTTTTCTCTGGCAGGTCAATGAGGTAAGCAAGACAAACATTAATATCAGATACCAAGCTAACCCATCCACTGATAAGACTAACCTCACCCGCATCCGTTACCGTGTCTGAGCATCCCGCTTTGTTGCTGTGTAACCTCATCCTCCAACATCCGTCTGCTGAGCCAGGCCCTGTCTCGCTGTTGGCATCTAGTCTTGAACCAAGAGTAGGCATGGAATGTTCCCCATAGGTCAAGTCCTTGAGCTGTCAGCACCAGATAACTCTTCCTCCCTTAATGCACTGATATGAGAGAGCTGTTGGGAACCTCTTTCTTTGGTTGGGGGGAAAATCTCGGGACAATTAACTGCTCTTTGGTCTGCATGTTTCTAGTTTGCCAAGGCTTGTGCATCAGTTGCAGCCCCTGCCAGGCTGATGGTCTTGTGTATTCAGTTACGCAGCTCCTTCAAGCAAGCTTTCGGGAAGAAGAAGTCCCCCAAGTCAGCATCCTCGCATTCAGACATTGAGGAGATGACGGATTCTTCTTTGCCTTCCTCACCAAAGTTGCCACACAACGGCTCTGCGGGATCCACCCCACTGCTGAGGAATTCCCACTCCAACTCTCTGTAAGTCTGTCCACTGGGATCAGATGACATCTCTGGCTGCTAGGTGCTCTCTCAAATAGGAATGCCAAGACCCCTGTTACTGTTTATCTGCTCCTTTAGGGTCCTTTCTGTTTTGATTTCTTAGGACTATACTGTTCTTTCAGTGTTTTAGGACTGGGGAGACGGAAAGAGAGAGGAAACTTTGGTTTTTGTTCTAGTGTCAGTTTCTTCTGCTTTATTTGTCGCACTGAGATGATGGCTGATACGCACTTATCCTATCCTAAGGATTGAACGAAGTAAATGGATGTGAAAGAGCTACAACCATCTTGCTGAGAGGGGGAACAGGTATTATGAGTGTTTGCAATTTTTGCTGAAATTCTGATTCTGACTTAGAGAGATTGCAATTCTCTTCTTTGACCAAAATTTGGTGTTCACTCTGAGGTCAGAACTCAAAATGAAGAGCTACAGTAACAACTCTCTTGACCAAAAGGTCCATATTTCATAAAATAAGCTTCCCTACTAAATTTTATTTTTTAAAGGATTTATTTATGCATACAAGAGCTGGGGTGTAGGTCAGAGATGTGGGGGGTGAGAGGATTCAGCAGAGACAGAGTGGGGAGCAGAACAGGTAGATTGACTGAAATACACTGCTGAAGGGGGCAGCAGGCGAGACAGGAGAGGTCTGCTGCACCATGTGGGTCAGCTCCCTGGCCGGTGATTGAACTCATGCTGCAGTGGCTGCCAAAAGCTTGATAGTGCTGAGATCCAAACCCTTGTACCACCAGGGATGGCCTCCCTAGTAAATTTTAATTGGTACAGCTCTCTTTGGGAACACAGTTCTGTTCAATGTGACATGCACATTTGTTCACTTGGCACTGGTTTAAGTGCTGGTCCCTTGGCTGCTAGTTCCATGAGAGGTCGCCTATCAACCTCCGATGACCCGTCTGATTACCCACTGATCTGGTAGGGGCACAGGGAGATAGTCCCATACCCCATCTAAAAACTAAGACCTAGACTCTAGAGGCAAGAGCAGGGCAGGGATGGCTTGGGATGGGCAGATGGGGACAGATGGCACAGCTGGCTCCCTGCAGCAGTGACAAAGATTGCTCCTGTCCTGAAGGTCTGAATTCCTTTAGATAGCTTGGGGTATTTTAAGCCAAGAATGAACAAGAGCTGGAGCTCAAGTCCTCGAGTTATCCGCAAAATGAAATGGTACCTGGGACAAGAGGACTGCTGTGGCTGGGGTCAGAACAGCCGCTGAACTAGCGTTAGCCAAGGGAGTAGGGCCGATGCAGACACCTCAGCTTCCTCATTGGCCACAAGAGTTCTGCTTCAACTGCTTCAACTGTGTGAGGTTTGAGACGGCAGCCAGCCTGGTGTTCCTGTAGGCATAGATTTGGGCAGTGTGGGTGCAGAGGTAGAATTGAAAGCTGGGAAACCGGAAGGATCCTCCAAGAGGGTGAATGAAAGAGGGAAGAGCCCGAGGGATGAGGACCAGGCTCTGGGAGCTCTGCTATTTGAGTTTCAGGAAGTAGAGCAGCCAGCAAGGTGGGAAGAAACTCGGGAGCAGAAGAAAGAAACTTTGGAGGAGGGAGTGGTAACCGGGCCAAGTGCTGCTGGGCAGCCAAGTCCGAGGAGGAGAGGGATGTGCCCCAGCTGTATACAACTCCCAGCAGCCATAGCGAGAACTCTCCCTCCAAACCGCTTTCCCCATAGGGGTTGGGTGGGGCAGACTCCTGGCTCCCCAGCCGTTTTCTGACATTCCACAAATCCATGGACACTGGAAATGTTTGTTTTTGGTCTCGCTTTCCAAAGGGTGGGCAGAGAGCAAATGCTTATTTCCAACCTTGAAGGGTTTGTAAGAATGTGCAAATCTAGATGTGAGGGGGAGTTCAAAGAAAAAACCAAAGGCAGAGGAATCGGACAAAAAAAAAACAACAGACCCTGCCCTATGGGTGAAAGGAATGGCTGTGTGGGGAGGCAGCATTCCCCACACTCATGGCGTTTAAAATTAGGTATGCCACCCCCGCCTGCTGGGCAGGACAACGGGAATCCACTGGGATAACATGTTAGGAATCTGGTAGGAAAAAAGCACATCAGGTTGCTTTAGGATGTTTTCTACAAAGTGGACAAGCAAATAGTGCCTGCTAGATACATGTCAGCAGCCAGGACTGTAAGCAGACCTACCAGGGGTGATTCTGATCCTGTCATTTATAACGGGCATGTTGATCTCTCTATGCCTCTGCCTCCCTGTGTTTAAGATGGTGATAAGGGCCTCCCTGGTAGTGCAAGGGGCTAAGCACCCCACTATGAAGCTATCTGCAGCATTTGCAGCACAAATTCGATCCCTGGCCAGCCAGGGAGCTACCCACATGGCGCAGCAGACCTCTCCTGTCTCGTCCACTGCTCCCCTCAGCAGTGTATTTCAGTCAGTCTGCCTGTTCTGTTCCCTGCTCTGTCTCTGGTGAATCCTTTCACCCCCCGCACCTCTGGCCTATACCCCAGTTCTTCTATGCATAAATAAATAAATAAATCTTTTTAAAAAATAAAATGGAGATAATTATGGAGCTAGTACACAAAGTTAATGAGATAATTTGTTTAATATGCCCAGCACAGATGCTTCTGTGTTCAGTAAGTGGTCATCATGGTTGATTGGTGTCAATAGACACAAAATGAAACTAAGAACCCTGGCGCTGAGGCTCCAGCAGCCATGCAGAGGGTAACTTGCTAAGTGCAGTCACAGTCACAGTTTAGTGCAAGAAGGAAGTGAGGGCGAAGGCTGTCTTAGGCAGCAGGATAGAGGCTAACATCATCTCTCTGTTGTAGGACATCCCTTTTGTGTCTATCTGCGATTGCTGTTTCTAAAAATTAGCTACTCTGGGGCCAGCACAGCCGGGCCTTCTTCTCTTAGTGCAGTTACTCCCAACATAAACTCTCTTCGTTTTAGTTTGCTTTCCCTTTGTTAAGTCATCACTTGGCCAAGTTTTGCAAAGTGAGCTTGTGATATATTCCACAGAGTAGGTGCTGAGGAAGTACTTTCTCTTGCTGAGAAAGCTGTCAGGGGAAAGGCACAGAGTGAAAGGCACAGAGTGAAGGAGACTGGAACCTAATGCCTTGCTGTGGAGTGCTGGGAGAGCAGAGTCGTGTGAACCAAGCCAACTCTTCTCTGCAGTGAATTGGAGCTTTCAAGACCTGTGCAGGACACAGTTTGGCTAAGACTCTACTGTCGAAATGGAATTTTGGTCTGGATTTACACTCCATTTACACCAGGAGACCACGGTCCTGTCTCCCAAGAAAGAACCAGTTTTAGCGAGGCTCCCCTGAAAACCTCCCAAACCACCCCCCCAAAAAGTATGACTGTATAGCTAGAAACCACAGGCTATTCAGAGCACAAAAAGCCAGGAGTCCGTGGAGCGGAGGAGGAGGATGATCTGAATTCTAAAGGCATTTCTGTGTCTCTAGCCTTTTAGTCCCAGATCTGGTGGACTCAATTTCTTAAAGGTATAAGGTGGGAATAAGCATAACATCTTCAGGAATCCATTGCAGATTTCAGAAGAATTTGAAGTAGAGAAGCTTCCTTGACTGCTGATAACTCTTATAAAAAAAAACTAGGAGATGGTTTTCCTTCCTTTGTAACTCCAAAATCACAACAGTTCAGATGCAGGTCAAAAAAAAATAGCAACCCCAAAATTTGGCTGTTCAGGTGTTACATTTTTTTCCCAGTCCTTTTTGCCCCTGAATTACCATTCTATCTCTTTTAGCAATTACAAATGGTTTTCTTTTGGCCATTAGCATTTCCACACCCTCCACCAGTTTTACGGGTCAGTTTTGTTTGGCCCCAGATCCGTACTTGGGTCTTGGAGAGTGGGCGCTCATGATTTTTTCTGCGACCACATGCTCACCATGTCTTTCAGAAATAATCAGCTTCAGTTCTGTAACTTTATGAGCTTGGGCAGTGGAGGGGTGGAGGAGGGAATCTTTCCTTTTTTTTTTTTTTTCCTATCTTCAGTCCAAGAAATGTCAAAGCATTCTACTCTGGATTACCCTCACCCCAGAACCTATAATCTTTGAAATCAACTGAACCTTTTCCTAAACAGAACTCTCTTTTCTAACATAGCAGTTCATCATGACTGTGACCTTCCTTTTGTGCTGACTTGCCAGGTATCTGACTAGCAAACCTAACTGATCAAATAAGGACCCCAGCCAGGAAGAGACCACCTCTTAAGAAAGAGACTCAATAGGACTCCAGGGTCCCCTTGATCTAGTTACAGTTGGGAGGGAAATTCAGCCACTCACCCTGCTGCAGAGTTTTCAGATGAAACTTCAGCTTCCACATCACATCAGCCTTTCTGGTCTCTTACTACCTAAAGATGTTTCTCTTTATTGCCATGAGCTTTTTAAATAGTGTGGGGCATGAGGAAAAAAAAATGTTGCTCTCTCTAGACACTTCTAGAGGAACTGGTTTTAGAATGTGACTGGATACAGACTCTCTATCTATAGCTTTAGGATCTTTCTCCCTTTCTGGCAAATAAAAATGACCCTTCGGCTGTCTGAACTTGGAATGTCTAATCTTTAAAACAGACAGTTGACCTTGCTTCTCAGAGTAGGTTTAGATCTCAAGGCCTGCATGGTGTCATTATAGGGGCCCAGCTGTGTACACATTTGAGGGGCGTTCAAACCCCAAAGGTTTTGCTACTCCCTTTTTCCAGCCTTCTGTTTATTCCTAGGAATTCTGCTGAAAGCCACACTAAAGTCATGCTGAACACTGGCAAGTGTTCTGCAAAGATAGAGCTGGAAAAGCAATAAAATCTGTGAATTTCAGGTGCTTTGGTATTGTCACCTCCAGGGAGCTATTGGACAGCTGCTTTTACTGGGTTACTGCTGAACAAAACCAATGATTGACTCAGGCCAGTGCTTAGTGGAGGACTAAAAGGAGGTGAACTCAGAGCTGCTTTCTTCTTGTCTCTCTCCCTAGCATTTCAGAGTGCATGGACAGCGAAGCCGAGACAGTCATGCAGCTCCGAAATGAGCTGAGAGACAAGGAGATGAAGCTGACCGACATCCGCCTAGAAGCCCTCAGCTCTGCACACCAGCTTGACCAGCTCCGGGAAGCCATGAATAGGATGCAGGTGAGAGCCCGAAGCTTGCACCTAGCCCAAAGCTGTCAAGAAGGAGCACCAGGAGGCTGGTCTCGCCACACCTCAAGGACTTCATCAGCCTCTTTCTTTTTGCAGACCTTCCCACAGAGTCCTCAAAGACCAGTCTCTCCAAACCACGAGAGTAACCATGCCCTTTTGCATAAGACTTTCAGAGCTCACCATTACCTCCTGCATGAGGCACAGGCTCCTTCACCTGGTCTTCAAGGCCTTCTATAGGATCCTTTCACTCTTAATCTCCTACCCACCCCACCCCCAACTATACTTTCCAGATTCTTCTCACCAGCCCAAGAGAGCTGCTGTCTGCACCCTTTGCATGCCCTAGGAATATGTTTCATGCTGGCCAGCTCCTGGGATAGCCTTCTGCCCCTTCATGTTGGACCCTCCTCTTAAGGCTTGGCCTGAGGCTCTTCTGCACAGTCCTGCAGCTGAAAGAGCCCTTGTCTGAATCCTTACAACTTTGTTCTTAACAGCACATCTTACCTACTGCCATGGGTTAAGGCATTTGGGTCTTCCAAACTAGTATCTTCTGCATTCTTTTCTATAGATATAACATCAGTGCTTTACCATAATAGACACTTCATAAATAATCATAGACTGCTGCCCCCTATGGTTTTTACTAAATAAGACCTCACTGGAGAACAGCATTTCCCAAAGGAGGTTCCATGGGATGATCATTCCATGAGAGTCCTGGGAAAGAAAGCTCCTTGAGAAAACTGGCAGATGCTGTCCTCTCTCAGATTCATGGTGCCCAGCAACTCTAAAAAGAAATCTATCAACCAAGAGTTTCCCAAACTTCTTAGATTCTAAGACTTTTTCACTGAGCACTCCGGCAACACACTCCAAGACACATTTCTGAGGTCCTTTCAAAGGCCAACTTTCTGAAAGGAGGGGCCCACCCTTGCCCAGCAGGTGTTGTGGCTACAGCCATGGCACCACTGAATCTCTCTGACGGTATGACTTACTCAGCCACAGGGGGGGATACCCACTGGATCCCTGCAGGGTACTTTGCATCCCTCCTCTAGAAAAGGCTTGTTCACATTACATCCAGCTAACAAGTGGGCTTCTCCCATACTCATTGCAGAGTGAAATAGAGAAGCTGAAGGCTGAGAATGATCGGCTGAAGTCGGAGTCTCAAGGCAGTGGCTGCAGCCGGGCCCCCTCCCAGGTGTCCCTCTCTGCCTCCCCGAGGCAGTCCCTCGGCCTCTCCCAGCACAGCCTGAACCTCACGGAGTCAACCAGCCTGGGTGAGTGGCATTGCAGGACGGGTGGGGGGACAGGGCAGGGCCTGCAGCTGGCACGCCAGTCTCCAAGTGAGAGCCCCAGGATAAGCAGATGGACAGATCAAATGGAGAGACAACAGGCGCGTGTGCACTTGGGGAGTGTGTGTGTCTGGGTGTGCGTCTGCTACCAACATGAACCCAGCCGTTAGACTGCTGTCATGCTTTGCTCCAATGCCCGGTATCTCCAAGCCATGAGCTTGGACCTCCTCACCCACCATGCTGAGTTCTGTTTGATGCATTTTAAGAGGCTGACCTGCTAGCTGAAAGCGGCATACCAACCCCATAATAGCAGCTCCCAGTTGGGCAATGCCTTGGTCTGTGACCGTCCTGCCTTCAGGATGGACTCCAGCCTGGCGCAACAATTAGTGAACATGATCTAGGTTTTCTTTGTAAGCATATTGAGGCTGACGCTTTGATTTTTTTATCCATGATGCTGCTGTTGCTATCGTTTTGGTTGAGTCTCTCCCTCGCACTTCCATTTGGCAAGGTACATCGTCAGCCTGCTGGTTCCTTGGTTGGTCCACCATTGGTTCTGTGATTGCATTCTCCATTCTGCCCTCTCCCCTTCCCCTGCCCCCACTCCTTTTCCCCTGCACCCCGACACCTGGTTTGTCCCGCTGTGCAACAAGCAGCGGGGGTGTCAGGAAGCCAGCTTTGCTGTCCCCTTGTGCCTAAGGCTGTTGATGTTTTCCATTCGCAGACATGTTGCTGGATGACACTGGTGAATGCTCGGCTCGGAAGGAAGGAGGCAGGCATGTTAAGATAGTTGTCAGCTTTCAGGAGGAAATGAAGTGGAAGGAGGTTAGTTGGATCCCTTTCCCTGCTCTGCCTGTCCCTTCCCCAGGTAGAAGTATCTAGCGTAGTGTTTTCATCATAAAACCTCAGTACCTAAGGTGACTTGGAAATGCCGCTAATGCTTTCCTTTACTAGCCAAATCCCCAGCAGCATTTTGACACAATTAAAGTGAGCCAGCGGCCCTTCCCCCTCTCATGTTTGGAAAGTCTAATAGACTATTAAAAGTGGTCCCATGTTGTGCTTTCATGTAACTAATTAAACACTAACATCAGTCAGAAATGGCTTTTCTGAATTTAATAAAGTCCCAAACCACTTCAAAGGCAGCCAAGCACATTTAATGCAGAAGGTACAGAAATAGACCAGGAGCACTGAGTTCTGCAGTCAGCAAGGCTGCTGGAGAATTAGGAAGCCAGGTTTGCAAGGCCGAGGTAGCCACAGTGGGGAGCAAGGAGCTGCTGGGGCACCCTCACTCACTCAGCCCGGGCAATCTGAGTTTTCTGAGTAGTTTCTGTTACCTTCAAGAGTCTCGAGGTCATTCCTACTCCCCTTTTGACTTCACCAGAGAGTATTTTGGGTTAGAGGTGGGGGTTGACCATCAAAGTTGATCTCTAGCCAGTGATTAGATCCAAAGGCTGCTGTGAAAGACCATCTCTCATATAAGTGAGAAAAAAGACCTCATGAGTCACTATTTCAAGTCCTCTTGAGTGTTTGTTATTTTTCAAACTCTAGCCAATACTGTAGTAGTCTCAAGACATCTAGGGAATACACAGCACCCACCAAAGCCATGTCTGCAGCCATACTTTCATTTGCCAGGGTATTCTGCTTTGTGGCTGGCGCTGTAGTCTTACTCACAGGGCAAGCCCAGAATTTTGGAATTTCTAGGAGCTTTAGCATCCTCTAGCCTAGAAATAGCCAGTAAGTAGCTCCATTTGCAGAGCTTAGCTAATGAAATGATGGACTCTCGAGGGAAAATTCATTCTTATAGCATTCTTATAATACATGCAAATGAGACCTTTGGATGCATGTTCTAGTGATCATCAGCATGGATGATAGAACTTACATTTTATGAAAGTTTATGAGTCACTTGTAATCTGTGTACTATCCCAGATCACCACAGCCTCCAGATGAGGTTGTTTTACCTCAAGGCAAGTGATGGGGCCAGACCATCTCATTGTGAGACTGGTGCTCTTTTCTCTGTTAATTTTGCTGAATTGTGAGCTATACCCCATACCCACCCCTCTAATTCTTCATCTATGTAAGCTTGTCAAATAGTTCCTTTCCAACAAAATGGAACATTCTATTAACTTTAATCAATGTGATCAGTTAATCCCCACTATGCAGAGCCCAGTGGGCTCTGAAAAAGATCCTTTTGTGAACTTCCCCAAGTTTTACTAGCTTCCTGAGTTGAGCATCTTTTAACTTTTCATTAGAAGAAAAGCAATAACATTAAAAAATAAAAGAAAAAGAAAATAGAACTGTGTCTATCCTAAAGTTGTTAAAGATGCAGCAAGGAGCCAAAATTGACACACAAATAAAATATAAATACCAAAAAAAATCGTGTGTACAGAACTGGTGAAGCAGTATGAGCTCTGAACTCAAAGGGTTAATCATTGAAGGCTTCCTGGAAGAGGTGAGTTTGTAAGCAAGGTTTGGAAAGGGAGAGATGATAGGAGAGAGGAAAGCAGGGGAGAAATATATGATCTATGCACTAAATGAGGTTCACAATTAAAAGGTTCTAGATTCCATAGAGGCGATCCTCTCTTCTGGCCCACAGATTACTGGTTTAGCAGTAGAGCAGGGGAAATTTTTAAGACTATTGCGTTCAACCTAAATGATACCTGGTTTTAAGCAAATAGGACTTTTAATCCCCTTTGAAGCCATAGGTGGAATTCTAACACAATCTGAGTCCTTGCTAAACTGTCAGGAGAGAGTCATCTGTTTTTCACCTGCATACATTTCCTTACCCTTAGGATTCCAGACCACACCTCTTTCTTATTGGCTGCATTGGAGTTAGTGGCAAGACGAAGTGGGATGTGCTCGATGGGGTGGTTAGACGGCTGTTCAAAGTAAGTGTCTCCAGAAGGTGGCTGCAGAAAATACCCCTGAAGTGGGGCCCCTGACTTGTGGGAAGGGGTGGGGTGGCTTGTAACTTGAGCTGGCCATTTCTTGTGCGTTGTCCCCTCCTATATTCTTATGCTACTGAGACTTGTCCCCTGGCCCTGAAGTGAACAGGAGGAGGATGGTAAGAACAGATGTGATTGCCCCGTCCCATCTGACCCTGGCAGTGGTTGGTCACTCAGCGAGAGTCTTTTCCTACACTTACATCTATCTCAGCGAAACTGCTAATGTCCAAGTTCTCTCTTGACCTTAGAATTCTGTCCTGTTGAATATGTTTTGGAACATGTGATCTGGCTTAGGATAAAACATCACCTTTCCACCCTTCATTTTGGGGCAATTTGATCTGACTTGTTCATCATCCTGTGCCAACACTCCAGAGTCTGTGATTTGTGCCATAAGGGATATTAACATCTGGTCACTGGCTAACAAACGGTGTTGGTGTATTTTTGATTCATTCCCATCATATCACAGGAGTGGGTGTTTGGCACAGGAGAAATAACTGATGAGTTTTGGGTTGAACCTTAAAACAAAAGTAGCTTGAAGGAAGCTTTTGGTACATTCCTTTTATTGCTTGACCTGAAGTCAGTCAACAACCATAAGTGTGAATTAATCATATCCATTAAGTGATCATAACCCACTTTTCTTGTGCCAGAGACCATGCTAAGCCCTTTCTTCACATTAATTTATTTCCAGACCTGTGAGGAAGGTCCTGTTTCCCATTTCAAGGGACCAGCTTGGGTCCCTGCCTAACATCATAGATCTGGGGCTCAATCATGTTGGTCTAGTTGAGTCAGTCTGACTTCAAAATCTGATATAACTAGTAGACTCTAGTCTCCTCAAATCTACATTCAGAGAAAATCCTGTTCGCTGACTGAAGATTGGTCCCCATCTTGGCAAACCAGTCTCTGAAATGCTTGAGCAGACCTGTCCTCCTACCGAGGTCAGAACTTTGCCTCTGCTGATGGGGAGCTGAAACATCCTTGGATCTGAAATATAACAGTTGGACTGAAAACAGCCTGTGGTGCATCACAGGGGAGGAAGCGAGGTCACTAGAGGTGGCGCCTGGGACTGGGATTCCATTTCAGTCATAGACTGGCCACCACACAGCCCTGGACCTCCATTCCAGTCTCCCGACCTACCACCTTTTGCTCAGTCACCCCCAAATTAAGTCCAGTTTTCGTTTTTAGAGTTAAGAGCTGCTTTTCTCTCATAGCCCTGGGTTTTGCACCCTTTATCATCAGTATGATGTCAGGTTTTGGTCTCAAGAAGGGGCTGATGGAGAAATTTCTTACAGAATTTTGTTTTCATGAAATTCCCAGCACCATTCCCAGGCCCTGATGTCTTCAGGGCTTCAGCCTAACTTTTCCCTGCTTAGTTCATCCAGACTAAACGCTTGCAGAGTCCTGTTAGGGGTTTTGTGTTTCTCCATCACTAACCAAATAAATCAGTATTTTAAGAGGCCTGTGACAGAAGGCCATCTTTCCCATAGAAAGTTACCTCTTCTCTCCCCCAGTTCCAGAGCTCGATTTCAACTCAGGCATCAGCCAGGAAAGACGAGGAGATGATCGTAAATCACCCACTGAAAGCATGAATCACAGGCAGACTGCAGCCACATCTTTGATGGGGGTCTTTACTTTTTTTCCAGGAATACATCATTCATGTCGACCCGGTGAGTCAGCTAGGGTTGAACTCAGATAGTGTTCTGGGCTACAGCATTGGGGAGATCAAACGCAGCAACACTTCCGAGACGCCTGAGCTTCTTCCCTGTGGCTATCTGGTCGGGGAGAACACTACCATCTCTGTGACCGTCAAAGGTAACTCAGTCTCTGCAGCGGTGGGAGTTTTCAGGAACTGCAATTTGCGTTTTGGGACTTGGCCTAAGATACTGTGGCCTTGATTTTGTTTGTGCAGATATATGTGGGTGGGGGTGTTTTTCCCCCTTTAACCACAGTTATTCTTATCTAAGCAAGTTAAACAGTCTAGATTTTTCACCCACCCTAGGAAGCAATTTAAATTTATTGCTGAAATTACCTAACAAAAGGTCCCATTAGCCTGATGACTCTGTGAAGATGGAATCTTAATAACTATGGAAACCCGGCTCTTCCAATATGAATGAAATATCTTGCCAGCGAGCCTTGGACACAGTCCCATTTTACAGATGGGAAAACCACGAGTTGCTATAGGCTGGAGGGGATCGCTCCAAGCATCCTGTTGAAACTGCTGAGGCTCTTGCCCACGCGTGGTGCAGCTGGAGCTTCCAATTGCCTCATCGCCGGAGACGTGAACCCCCCAGGCCAAAAGTGTGTTCCATGGAACTCTAGGCCCTCCACGCTCTCTGTGGGGGAAAAACAAAGTTGCATGGCCACATAAATCTGGGAAATGCATCATAACTGCTGTTTAGGTTTGGGGGCCAAAGGGGGCAGGAATGTTCTAGTACAGTGAAGGCTCTGATCTTAATGTCCTAACTCCTGCCTTTTAAAAGACAGTTACATCCAGTCTGACACAAATTTATTTGATGGTCAACTCTCCCTCCCCCCTCCCCACTTTTTAATATTTTATAAATCACCTAAGTAAGGAATCTGACCGTGGCTTTTAAAGTGCAGTTTTGGAGTGGTTTTATCTCCCGGTTGGAAGGTTCTTCAAAAACGCCCATCATTCCCCCTCAGCAGGAACCACTGCCTTGTCCTGCCTGTGACAGCAGTGCCTCCCTGCTGGAGCTTCACATGGCCTTATCTTGCTGGTGTGTGAAGTTCCACGGAGAGCTGCCCTTTCTACAAAGCCCCTATCACTTCTGACCTCTTAAATGCAGGGCTCGCAGAAAACAGCCTGGATTCCCTGGTGTTCGAGTCCCTGATCCCCAAGCCCATCCTGCAGCGCTATGTCTCCCTGCTGGTGGAACACAGGCGGATCATCCTCTCTGGCCCAAGTGGCACTGGGAAAACATACCTGGCCAACCGGCTCTCAGAGTACCTGGTGCTTCGGGAGGGACGGGAGCTGACAGACGGGGTCATCGCCACCTTCAACGTGGACCACAAGTCCAGCAAGGTGAGGTGGTTGTTTGGAGGCCGCTGCCCAGTCATTGGTCACCCCTTGGCCCTTCCACAACAGTTGCTGCCACTATCATCCCAATGGGAAAGTGGTGTTTCCTTTAAACTCTCCTCTGGTTATAAAAGGCCAGTGAAGGAGGCAGAATGGGGCTCTCAGAAGAATGGCTTTGAGGGCCTCTTTGGTGGCACAAGGAGTTAAGCATAGCACTGTGAAGCTGTCCACAGCCTCTGCAGCATGAGTTCGATCCCCAGATGGCCAAGAAGCTACCCACATGGCACAGCAGACCTCTCCTGTCTCGCTCACAGCTCCCCTCAGCAGTGTGTTTTAGTAGATATGCCTGTTCTGCTCCCCACTTTGTCTGGTGAATCCTTTCATCCCCCACACCTCTGGCCTACACCCCAGTTCTTGTATGCATAAATAAATAAAAATCTTTAAAAAAAAAAAAAAAAAAAAGAATGGCTTTGACCCAAAACTTGCCAGTGAGAATTTCTATCTATAAGTCAATCTAGTTCATGTATTATGTCCCCACATATTCATGCATTATGAGCCTGATGTGATGCTCAGTGCTAGTGGTTTTTTAGTGGCCTCCCAGGTGTGTCCATTTCAATTTACTGAGAATTTATCTTCTGCGCACTAGCTGTTGTTGCTTTTCCAAAGTGAAACCTCTTTCGTGGGACACCAGTAGCAATAGTACTAACAGCAGTTCATATCGACAGACTACAGCAGATGGGTCCCCTGCTATATGGATCTACTGAAGCTTCTGTATAAAGTGCTCTCGGGCAGGTGCTATGGAATAGAGCTCCTGCTCCTCCCTTAGGTGCTTATTGGCAGGTTGGCATTATAAGAAATATCTGCAAACATAGTCACACTTTTTTTTTAAGATTTATTTATTTTTATACAAGAGCTGGGGTACAGGCCAGAGGTGCAGGAGGGTGAGAGGATTCACCAGAGACAGAGCAGGGAGCAGAACAGGCAGATGACCGAAATACACTGCTGAGGGGAGCAGCAGGCATGACAGGAGAGGTCTGCCATGCCATGTGGGAATCTCTCTGGCCAGCCAGGAATCAAACCCGCGCTGCAGAGACTTTATAGCGCTGTGCTCAACCCACTGTGCCACCAGGGAGACCCACTGTCACACTTTTAGAGAAGTGGTGTAACAGGGCTGCAAAGCCATGGCTGAGTATTATCCCCCACAGAGCAATGCTTCTGCCCTGGGCTGAAGATTCTCTGTCACCTTGTGAATGCTGGAAGTCCCCAGCGTGTGTTCAGCTCTCACCTCTCAGCCCGCATGGGCCTGGGCTAAGTGAACGCTGTGAACTTGAGAGTCTTCTCTGGGATATGCTCACCCACTTGTCCTTCTCTGGTTTTCTGGGGCCACCGCAGGAGCTGCGCCAGTACCTATCCAACCTTGCTGACCAGTGCACCAGTGAGAACAATGCGGCGGACATGCCTGTCGTCATCATCCTAGACAACCTGCATCATGTCAGCTCCCTGGGTGAGATCTTCAATGGGCTGCTCAACTGCAAGGACCACAAATGGTAAAGGCCTGGACCTTCTGGCCCTCAAGAGTGCCCACGCATGGCATGATCCACACAGGGAGTGGTGGCAGGGTGGGGGGCAGGGCAGGCAGCCATCCACCCAGACACCCGCGCTGAGGGCCGCCGTGAGCACCTGCTCACAAAATTCTTTGTCCCTTTGTGTCCCCACAGTCCTTACATAATTGGCACAATGAACCAGGCTACCTCTTCCACTCCTAACCTGCAGCTTCATCACAACTTCAGGTAAGATGTCACTGTCCTGGTCTGATTAGGTGACAGAATGACAAAGAAGGAATGTAAGAAAGAATAAGCAGAAAAGCTATTTTGAATACTCTCTGTGATGTGCTGGGCAGTGTAGAGTTAAGCTACACTGATCCCAGTTTCTCATTTAGCTCTCTCAGCAGCCTCAGGTGGTTGAGATTTATCCTTCTCAGTTTACTAATGGGGAAACTGGGGCTCAGAGAATCAAATCACTTGTGTGAGGTCACACAGCCAGTCAGTTGGAAGGCTGACACTAGCACCCATTTCTTTGACTCTCAGTCCTAGGGGAGCAGCATCAGCACCCTCCCCCGCTGCACAATCAGTGGCACATCCCTCTCACCCAAATGGGCTTGAGCAGCGAAGGCTCTTGCTTGGGAATGTCTCCACGTAGCTGGGTCTCTGGGCCTTGGAGCTCTAGCTGCTATGAGTCCCTCATAATGATCAGAGGACTGTCACCTCCTCCAGGCCCCTGGGATCATAACCCACCTCCGCACCTAGACTGTACCGGGCTTATCCATGCTTTCTCTTAAATATCCTGCAAGTCCTTGTTCCTTGTCCTTCCCCTGTGACTGTCGCATTATCTCTTAGTATGCAGCTGCAATTATTTTCTACCCAGTATGCCTGCCTGCATCTTCCTGCCTGGCCCCCACCCTAGCCGTCTTCTGAGCATTCTAGAATTCAGATCTGACCATAAAACTTCCATGCTACCTGTGTTTTCCCATTGCTTCCAGAATAAAATCTAGGTGACACTCTGGTTACCCTGAACCCTTGACAGTTTCCCAGATAGCCCACACTTTTCCTGTTTCTCATGCCTCTGTGAATGTGCCAGCAAACTCTCCATCCTCCATGCCAACCCCACACTCCTGTCTTTCTTTATGTGGCTGCTGCATTCACCTTTTTGGTCTCAGTCCAGACATCTCCTCCAAGGAACCCTCCCTGACTTCCAGGTTTCATTGTGTCTTAGTCACTTTTATAGCTCCATAGCTCAGAGCAGGGGGGCCAGGTGCTCAGTATTTAGAGCTCAGACACTGGAGCTGGACTGTCTTGGTTCTAATCTTGGCTCTTCTAGCTGTTCACTCAAACAGGTTACATAGCTTGTCTGTGCCTCAGCATTTCCATCTGTAAATGGGATGGCAGTGATAATCTGTGTCATGGGGATTCCATGGGGTTTATGAATTAATATGACTGTGTTCAGAATAACATTTGGCACGTAGTAGGTCCTATTTTAATATTGACATAGACAACTTCCCTTTCTGATTCTTTGATTCTTGATATTAGTCGTCATTTTTGTCACCACCACCACCCTGAAAAGCCTTCCTTACTTTCCCCAGGTGGGTGCTCTGTGCCAACCATACAGAACCCGTAAAGGGTTTCCTTGGCCGGTTCCTGAGGCGGAAGCTCATGGAAACAGAGATCAGTGGGCGCGTACGGAATGTGGAGCTGGTAAAAATCATCGACTGGATTCCCAAGGTCTGGCATCACCTAAACCGCTTCCTGGAGGCTCACAGCTCCTCGGATGTCACCATAGGTAGGTGGGAAGCCAGGTGGAGCAAGCAGTGGGCTGGTTCGGGTGGGGCTGCTCCTGGAGGCCAGGCCTCAGATGAGGGTCAGGACAGCACCTTGCAAGGCCAGATGTCGCACTGCCCTTGCAGAGAGATAGGGAGGAGACTGACCCCACACCCCAGTCATCCATGTCCTCAGGTTGTGACTCCACCCCTCTTCCCTGCCCAGTGTGCCAGTCAGACCTGCCCAGGGAGACATGATCCCACGGGGCTCAGGAGGAGCCCACCCCAAGGCCCCTCAGTCAAAATCACCATTGGGCCTGCTTTGCTGTACACAAAAAATTTACCAACATTCTGACACTTAGGGATTTAGAACAGAGGAAGAAACTTCACTGACCATCCCACCACCTTGACCTAATCATTTCACTTGAGCTTATATTTTTCTGTCCTCGTCCACACACGTTTCATGTAGTTGCAATCATAGTGGATGGATTGTTCTTCTCTTTTCACCTCACATTGTCTCAGGAACATTCTCTTGCCACTCAGTTTTTATCATTATTTTAAAAGACTGGAAAGAAATCAAACCCGGGTGTCCCATGTGCTTCCATTCTCCCCTGTGCTTCCATTCTCCAAGATCAGGCTAATCATACTGCAGTGAGCATCTTTCTCCAGAAGCTCCCTCTTTTGGGTAATTTCCTAGAGGGGAGTGGTCCCAGGGTGGGGGTGAGAGAGTCTTAATTCTGTGCTGTGCCCCCCGCCTGGCAGCTGGGATTGCTGTCATCACTCAGAAGACCCAGGGTCCCTCCCATGTGGGCAGCTCAGACTGTGGCTGCATACACCCCCACCCCAGCCCACCCCCGTTTCAGCTCTAACTGGCTTTCTTTATGGCCTCCAGGCCCCCGGCTCTTCCTGTCGTGCCCCATTGACGTAGATGGCTCCAGGGTGTGGTTCACTGACTTATGGAACTACTCGATTATCCCCTATCTCCTGGAAGCTGTCAGAGAAGGACTCCAGGTAAGCACACAACCCGCTGGCCTCCTTGACATGGGCGGCTGTTCTGGTAACTGGATGAGTGGTCTTTATCTCCTTCAGGAATCTGACTGACATGAGGTGATGACCCCCCAGCTTCAGGCTGTCAGTCTAGCTCCGTGTCGGGCTCCCTTGGCTGCCAACTCTGGCTCTGCTCCTTGTTAGCTGTGCAACCCCAAGCAAGTCTGTAGCCTGTGTGGGCCATAGTGCCCTCATGGTTCGAAGAGGAGGACAGTACCCATCTGCCAGAAAGAGTTACTATGCACACTGAATGAAATCATACCTGCAAAGTGCTCTGTGTAGTGAATGTGCAAGAGATGGGAGCAGGCATGTGTGTAGCTCCTCACAGTTTGCAATGTAGAGTTTGCTGTTGGGTTCAAGCTCTGCATTAGCCCTGGGGCTTAGGTGGAGATGTTTTTGTCTTCATTTGTCCAAAAGGAAAATTGAACTTCAAAGAGAATAAGTGACTTCTTGAGGTCATAAATGTGAAACTTGGAGAATGTGGGAATCGAGTCCAGACCTCAGGCTTGAATTTCAAGTTCTCAGTCCTCAGCCCCACAATGCTCACTTCCTGACATCAGGACTCCTCACTGGTGAGCCTGGAATGTGGGGGACTATCAGCCCCCCACCCTGCAGCCACTGCACAGCATAGTCCTTCATCACTCAGCCCCGGATTTAATGCTCTGAGCAAGCATTACACTGGAGCTTACTACAGTTTTATTGCTGAGCCTGGAGGTGGCCCGAGAAGTACATAGGTCTCCAGCTCCCACACTGTGTAATGAATAAGCCGGCATCATGCTCGGCTGAGTAATCCAGGAGCCAGTTGGGCAGCTCATTTTCCAAGGGCTTCTTTAATTCCTCAATCTGGTGAGGAAACCCGCTATTGAAGGCCTGTGGAAGGTGCGGGAGGGCTGCAGGCTGCATGCATGATGGTGCGTGTTCCAGGCTTTAGTCCCTGTCACTTCTATACATTTAGCTGAGCCCCACGAATATTCAGCTGCTCTGGATCTGTAACCTGCCACAGTGCTGATGGTGCTCAGAGGCACTCAGGACACCGAGAACTCAGAGAGGATAATATTGAACCTCTTGTGAGGGGTATTTCATTGAACTGGAGCCACAGCCTGTAAGTTCAAGCCACTGTGCTGAAATAAATGTGTATTATGAGAGAGTAAATTAGGCAGTCCCTGACTGGCCCCAAATCATTGGCTGGCTATGTCTAAAGATCACGTGTCAAGGCAACATTTTCTAGCCTATTAAGTGTTACTTTCATTTAAAAACGTATAAAAGATTTTAGATTTTTGAAATGAAATCTGTGCTCCATTCATTGATCTGATAAATGGACCATAATTCAGTACTTAGTCAAAACTACAACCCCACACAGACACTCAGTCATTCCTATTTTCTTGGGCCAATGGAAACATCTTCCACCTGGTTGTTTCTTGCAGTCCATTCCATTCTAGAAGTCTCTCTCCTCTCTTCTCCATAAGTGGTTCTAGGGCCTGTTATATCACCAATACCTTTAAGCTCACACAGCTTAAGAGAGACAGGGAATTGCAATGGGATGGGGGGAGGGGAGGTGCACCATTTCCTCCTGTTTCCATCTTGCCTCTCAGTTTTCCCACTGGCTGCTTCCTTGCTCCAAATAGATTTTTCTGGTGAGGGATGGAAGCAAGAGTATGGTAGGAAGGATGGCTGGGCTCTGTCCAATGAAGGTCCCTCTGCCCCCTTTCTCTCATCCAGAAGTGGGACTATCTGTGCCCTGACCTTGAGCTACACCCCACCAAGGGTGGGCAGTGCCAGGGCCTTGCTCCTTTGGACCTAAACTTCAAAGGTGGCTTTGTGGATGTGACTGTGGCTCTGAACTTCCCTTCCTGGAGAGCTTGCTGATGGAGTTTATCATAAAGGAGATTCAGGTCCGTTTGCCACCAAAAGCAAGGAGGCTGCAGTTGAAAGGGCCATGGAACAGCCTGTCAGGAACAGAGACAATCCACCATCCCATGAGACTTACCAGTGTGAGGCAGGAAAAGTCATATGAAGGACCATTTTTCCAGAGCATGGACCTACCAGGGGAGATAGTCCATTAGCATTTGACCAAGTTGCTCAAAAGTGAGCCACCCTGCCCCAAATCTGTGACCTCCTCATCCTAATGAGCCCAGGAGACCCAGCAATGAGCTGACTCATGGAAACCTGGTATGTTCCTCATGCCTCAGTTTTGAAGGGAAGTTTGCTCCATTTATCATGGGCCTGCTACATGCCAGGCCTGGCACGCGTGGTCTCATTTAGTTCTTTTTTTTTTTTCAAGATTTATTTATTTATGCATGCAAGAATTGGGATACAGGCCAAAGGTGCAGGGGGTAAGAGGATTCACCAGAGACAAAGTGGGGAGCAGAACAGGCAAATCTACTGTAATACACTGTTGAGGGGAGCAGTGGGTGAGACAGGAGAGGTCTACTGCACCATGTGGGTATTTCCCTGGCTGGCCGGGCATCGAACTTGTGCTGCAGAGGCTGCGGGTAGCTTCATAGTACTGTGCTTAACACCTTGCACCACGAGGGAGGCCTGGTCTCGTTTAGTTCTAACAGCCCCGTGAGTACTTCACACACAAGGAAACCAAGGGCCCAGGAGTCCTACTGTCTTACCCCTACTTCACTCAATAAGTCTAGCTGACTCTTGGGGTGACTCTGTGATCTCCAGGCTGTCCCGAGGACCTCTTAACTGCACTCAGAAGCCTCAGAGAACAAAATCTTGTGTTTTGTATAGTGGAAGCCTAGATACATTCTCATTTGACAAAAGAATTCCTCTATTTAAGAAATTGCTTAAAAGTGCCTACTCCCTTGAGTTCATGCTCACTCTGCTGTAGGCTGCGTGGGGCCTTTTTACTTCCTACCGACCCCAGGACGCGAGAGTGGTCATGAGGAGAGCGGGCTGTGGTTCAGAACAGGTAAGCCCTTGGCCAAGGCTGTAAAGTGAGAGGTGGAGTCCCCAGAACGGGCTCTGACAGAACAGTGAAGGCGGTGGCAACGCAGACACTGCTGCTGTCTGGCCTCACCCTTGGCTCCAGACAGCCCCTCCCACTGGCACATCCCTGCCAGGAGGAGAGCTGCCGTTGCCTCCTAGTGGACATCAGGTGTCTCTGCAGTTTTGGCTTGTGTGTCTTCCCTGTAGGATTCGTGGATGTGTGCATGTGTGCACGCATGAGTGTATGATACACACATGTTCCCAGTAACTCTATGCATCCGACAGAGTCATAAAGGGTCACTGTGACCCAGATTTTTCACTTCCAGTATCAAGACACCCTGTTTCAGACCCTGTGGGCCCTTTTTTCTTGGGGAAAAGTAAATGTCCTACCTGGCAGTCTGTCTGCCCTGCTGTCTCTGCTGCTTCCCAGAGCTGCCTCAGGGCTCTGCAGCAGGGTGAGGAGCTTTATGATATTCCCTTTGCTGGAGATGGTACTTAGCCAACCATTCATCACCTGGATTTGAACATGTCCAGCGGCAAGTGGGGAGGCTTGTAAAAATATTTTCTGTTCTTGCAGATGATGTTAGCTGTGCCTCTGTGCATTTGTCTTATGACTCAGTCCCAGCCCTGTTCCCCTTTGGAGTTGTCATTAAACACTTGCCAAAGTGTCTCACGTCAACAGAGAAACTCAAAAGATCTTTGTCCCTGATGAAAGGGGAGAGCATGGGGGGAGAGCCATCTTATCAGATGACCCAGACTGCTCTGAGCCCCTGGCCCCTAGACCCATTCCCTAGACCTCAGCTTCCCAATTTGTAATCTTAAAATGTTGGACTTGAAGAGTTTTTTTTCAGGCTGACTTCTTTGGAGCCCTTAAACTACTCATGGGTGGGCAGGGGAGAGGGGAGAAGAGCATAGCTGAAAACCACGGGCCAGATTCTCTTCAAGGACTTATGAGTTCCAAGTACTGGCCTCTGTTCTTTTGTAACCCTGAGTGTCTTCTCCTCCAAGCTGGGACATGGATATAGAAGTGCTGGTTGTCAGAAGTGAGGCTGTGGTTCAGCCCCATACTTGTGAAGTCTGGCTTGGGAAAGGTGGCACATTTCCACAGGGAAAGCCCTTGGAGGGAGAAGCTTCTAAAAATTGCAGGAATGTTTCTAATCTGGAACAGACTTCTTTGCTTCTGTGTTGCCTTCCTCCCTGACGTGCATACATGCACACGTGCCCACACACATGTCCTTCCACATAACCCCTTCCTGCTCAGACTATGAATTTCCTGTAGAACACCAGACTGCATTCTCAGGCCTGAGACTCTCCCCTGTCCCAGGTTAAGGAAGATTTAGCTACAGACAGGGCCAGAGCACTAGACAGGATGGGCGTTGGTGTCTGAGAGCGCGATGAGGTCAGAGGAGGCTGTGTGTGTCTTGAGTGCAGCAGACACTATTGAAAAGATGGATGGCCCATCTGCAGTGCAGGCAGAAATCACATGTAAAGGGAAGAGGTGGCTTAGGCAACGGTGAGACAGCTGGAGGGGACAAGCAAGCTCAGCCCAGGCTGACGTGTCTGGTGGGTGGCCTGGCCTGTGTCTCCCTGCTCCTGTCTGGCTGAGTCACGAGGCTCCTGCTTATATCAAGTGGTTCATCATGGAGTCATTTGGGAGGGGAACTCTGCTCTGTAACATTTCATGACTGGCTGTCCTCTTCAGACCCGTGTCCCTGAGTGGTAAATGAGGGGGCATGCCTAGGTGACCCCAGTTCCTTCCAGCTGAGGCAGCCCATGACATAGAAAGATGTGGTCTTGGCAGAGCTCAGCTCTGTTTTACCGTCAGCACCTTGCTCGCTCTCTCTTCTCATCTCTAGGCATCCTGGGAGGGCAGACACAGAGCAACAGGCTGTGGTCCGGATGTCATTCCACTCAAGAGCCCTCCTGCCGCCCTGTGGTTCAGGAGTCTGGTCTTTGTGCCCTGTGGTCTCCTCTAGGGGGGGTGTCTTCAGAAGCAGCTGGCACTGCCCTGCAAGGGCACATCCTGTCCATGAGCGCATCTGTCACATCTGCTGAGACCCCAGGGGTCCATGGACTTGGATTCTAGTTCTGCCTTCTCTCCTCCTGGGTCCTCATCTGGGAGACTCCTCTTGGGGTCACACAGGGTTAAGACAGTGGTGGTGCTAGAGAGGACAGACAGACGAGCTACCCCAGCTGCACAAACACAGAGCCTGTCTTGGGAAGTGATTTTTTTTTAAATATGTTTCAAATTTTCTCTTGTGCCTTTGTTTTAGCCCAATGTACTCTTTTTTTAAAGATTTATTTATTTATACATATAAGAGCTGGGTACAGGCCAGAGGTGTGGGGGGGTTGTGTGTGTGAGAGGATTCACCAGAGACAGAGTGGGGAACAGAACAGGCAGACTGATGAAATACACTGCTGAGGGGAGCAGTGGGTGAGTCAGGAGAGGTCTGCTTCGCCATGTGGGTTGCTCCCTGGCTGGCTGGGAATCGAACTTGTGCTGCAGTGGCTGCGATAGCTTCATAGGTTGTGTCTTTATCCTTGTGCCACCAGGGAGGCCCCCCGAGGATCCCATTCTTGAAAAAATATGCGCATTTTGAAATTACCAGTAAAAGTCAATAAAATCCCTGTATCACTGCCTATTTAATTCAGTAAAGGAGCTTGGAGGCAGATACTGGTCTTATAAAATTAAGTGATGTAAGTTTCTGTTTTAAGAGCCAATTAGTTATGATGGACAATTTTGAAAAATACATGAGGGAGGAAGAGCACTTAGAATTCCACTACCCATAGTAACCTGTCACAATTTGCTGTTTTGAAAGTGACCCAGATGTCCATAGAGGGACTCTGAAAAATGGGGTTTCATTGAACCAGAGTCATTCATGACCTCTACCTGTGCTGTTGATGACCAGCACCCCTTTGGTAGGTAGGGAGGGGGTGTCCCCAGTGGGATACCAGGCTGGCTCCAGCTGGTAGTCAGTACCTCTTTCTAATTCCACATTCAGTGATACCTGTTGGTAGTCTGAAACTGGCCAGAATGGGAGTATTCACCCCACGGAAATAGGCATTTGCTTTAATCAGGTTATGTTTTTGTTTCCCCAGAGACCACTTTTCAAGTTGGATGAGCAAGACTTAGAGTTTAGGGTGACCCAGTGAGTCAGTGGCAGAGCTGAGATGTGAACCCCAGTCAGCCTGACTCCTAAACGGATGCCCTTGACCCCATGATCATGCTGCCCTCAGTCTTAGCACATCAAGCTGCCTGGACTCAGATGACGGCCTTAGGGTGGAATGCTGGCAGTGCAGTTACTCATGGGGAGGTGTAATGCTGGGGGTGGGGGGTAGTTTATCAGGAAGCTTCAACCTCAGGGCTACAGAAGAAGTCTCAGTCCACTTCCAGAGTGTTCCTTCTATGTTTTCAGCTCTATGGAAGGCGGGCCCCCTGGGAGGATCCCGCCAAGTGGGTGATGGACACCTATCCATGGGCAGCCAGCCCCCAGCAGCACGAGTGGCCGCCCTTGCTGCAGCTCCGGCCTGAAGACGTGGGCTTCGATGGGTACTCCTTGCCTCGGGAGGGCTCAACCAGCAAGCAGGTGCCCCCAAGCAGTGCTGACGGAGACCCGCTGGTGAGTTCTCCGGGCCGAGAGCCCTCCCCAGTCAGTGAGCTTCTACTGCCCACGAGGTCTGACGCAAGCCACGCTGGCCACGTAGAGCCAACTGAGCCCCGGCCTTCATTGCTTTGGAAGGTTGGATTTTCTAAGATTAGGACCATGTTTCCCACTATTTTCTTTTGTGGTTCTAGTTTTCACTAAAGCCTTTAACCCCTCTGAGTTTTTTTCTGGCTTAAGGTAAAAGACCAAAGATTTGACATTTTTCCCCCTCTAAATGCCCCAGTACCTATTGTCCCTACACCACACTTAAATGTCTGATTTGAGGGTCTCCTGTTGTGCTGTTCCAGTGATCTAACCCAGCTGTCACTGAGCAGGGCCAGGGTCCCAAAGAGCAGAAGTGCACATGGTCAGGACCACAGGCAAGGAGAAGAGGGAGGGCAGGGCTCACAGAGGGCAAGGCCTGAATACCAAAGCCATAACTGGTGAAATGAGTTGAGTCTGAGCTGCTGACTCACCCCACCATTGCTAAGGCAAGAAAGGCCTTTTAAGAAGAATCTGGGCCAGGGAAGGGAACACTGTAATTATGGTACCCTCTGCTAATATAAGATGCATTCATGGGCATACTGTGAAATTAGACCTAACAAATCAAAGCTCTATAAAATAAGGTGCAAGCTTACACACCCTCCCCTCCTCTTAGATGACTATTATCAGGCCTTTCAATTTTGCCCTAGCTCCCTTGGTAGCTAAGCCAATGGGAAAAGAGCAGCAGAATGTGTTTCTTGCATTACCTAATGAAAGAGAAGACTCCTAGGACATGCAGCAGGATTAAAAGAAAACAGTGAGGGTTCTGTGCTGTCCCTAGTGACTAATTGATTCACTAAACAAAAAGTCAAATAGGAGCTTTGGGGCGCTTGCCATCCTCCTGATTGGTGGCAGGGCACTGGGGTGCTGTTGAGGCTTAAGAGAACTGGTTTTTAAATGTATCCATTATTTGTGTCACTATGCACAGTCTAATTTGCAGAATATACAACAGTGGTTTTACAGAGAAACGAATTCAACTTTCCAGAGTCATTTCTGACATTAACTGCTACTAAAAGCCAAAGTCAGGGAGATATTTTTGTGAGTGCAGACTCATGAGATCTTAAATAAAAATGGAATGTAGGCTGTCTAAAGGAAAAAATAGTTCATCCCCCGACACATTTCTTAACCAAGAACGTTTGTATTGCTGATTGAACACAGAAGGCGTTTAGGTCAAACCTGGAGTTCTCAGAAGTTACACAAAATTCTCCTTCCTCTCCTTTACCAGGTTCAGTATTTGGTGTTTGTCCCAAGTCCACTTCACTGTGCCTCGGGCCATAGGTCTGTTCCAAGAGGACAGGATTTCCTTGGTTTTGTTCCAAACCATATGCTATGAGTACAGCAGGAGTGTTTGATGAGTGAATAAACAATCCCAGCTGCATTGTCCATTATGCTTCAAGCGCCTCCTTTTTTTTGGTCACGGCTATGCAGATGGACACCAGCAATGCTGCTTCTGCGGCCTGGCTCCCCCAGAGAGCCTCTGCTAAGCACCCTGTGGAGCAGCTGGCCAGGAAGTGGCTGGACTTCACGCCAGCTGTATCACATCTTAACCTTCACTCAAGGAGACCCTAACTTGCTGGATAAAACACACACACAATCTATAGTTATAAACAAAAGTAGATTTTTCTTTCTCCCACCACTCCCAAACAATGACCAGTAGATTGTAGAACAGGAAAGACTGAAGCACACTGTCTTTAAATTCTTTTAGTCATTGATGGTGATGGTAATGGTGATGCTAGCAAATCACATTTGTTGTACACTTGCTATGTACCATGCCCTGGTCTAAGGGCTTAGTACAACTCCTTTTGTTCCCTAGTTCACCCTCATGAGAAAGAGGCTGAGGTCTCTCTAATCAGTAGATGAAGAACTGTTGGCTCAGATATGTTAGGTAATTTGCCCAAAGATTCCTGAGTTGGGATCCAGGCCTCCCTGCTCTCCTGTGACTGGTGCTGTGATTTACCTCCTGTGAAGGCCTTGACAGGAGCAGGAGAACAGGCAGCCCAGGATGCCCTCGGGCCAGAGCCAGGAGATAGATGGGCTTGATGCTCACTAAGAGGGACCCTGTGCTTTGGACATCAGTGGTGATGCGGCACATGTTCCAGAAGCAGACACCCAACTGGGTCTTTGCTCAGGTTGGGGGCTAAGCTCGGGTAAGGCGTGCCCTGACAAACGACATCAGTCTTTATAGACAGCTTCCTAGTTTATTCTTAGGGCTCTACATTTATTAAGTTAATCCACACTATAACATTTCAGGCACAATTTTTAATCACTTTTGACCAGTGAATAAACTGAGATGCAAAGAGGTGAAGGCATTTGCCTAGGGCCAAACAGCTGGTAAGTGGTGGGACTGGGATTTGAACCCTGAAAGTCTCACCCACAGTCCATGCTCTTGCCACTGCCTCTCCCATGAGCCACTGCCCCAGGGTGAGTCTGGAATTGGAGACCTGGGCTTTGAAGAGCCCGGGGTGGACAGCTGACTGAACTGGATGCTCTCCCCTCTTTCTCAGATGAACATGCTGATGAGGCTACAGGAGGCAGCCAACTACTCCAGCCCCCAGAGCTATGACAGCGACTCCAACAGCAACAGCCATCACGATGACATCCTGGATTCGTCCCTGGAATCCACGCTGTGATGGGCCCAGCCACAGAGCCCACCCCTCCCCTAGCCCTCCCCACACCCACCTCCCTCCACCATCCTGAAGATGACCTCCTGAGCCAGCCCCCTGGCTGCAGGGACACCAAGATCCCTCGTTCTCCAGCCTTGAGCTGGGGACAGGCGTCCCAGGCCAGTTGCCTTGGGACCCTTCCTTCTACAGTGAGAACTGCACTACCTTCTGTTTCATGGGAATTATTGTTTTGCCTTGTTGCTGTGACCTCCCTAAGACGCTCAAGATACTTCTCGGGAAAGGATCGTCACCACTGAAATGAAAAGGGTTAAAAACAAGAAAACTCACTTGAAGCCCTGAAACCCAACAGCATCTGCCACGAGACAGGAGACCAGGGCAAAGTTAGCAGTTTCGACGGCATGACTTGTCCTCAGCGTGACCCTCCAGCCTGGTCTACCCATGGCCCTGCCACCCGCCCTCCACCCAGCGCCTCAGAGGCCCGGGCTGGCTTAGGCAGGCACGCTGCAGAGCTAGGCCCCGGGAGCCCTGGACACACAACCCACGCTTTCTGTTTTGTTCTTTTTTTGACTGGTGCTCTCCTCACCCGAGAGGTATTTCGTCCCAGTTCAACAGTACCTTTCCGACCCTCCAGTGAATCCAGAGCGTGAGTGAAGGAGCAAGAAGGAGTGTGAGCACACGTGGCTCTCACGCAGAACAGCACGTGTCTGTTTCCTTCCCACAGAGAAATGAATCAGGTTTCTTTTCTGCAAACACTGTGTACAGTAAGCGTTGTTCTACTTTGGAGAACTCAGAGCCCTTTTGAAAATGAAGTTGAGTTTCCCCCTTTCTGACTTTTTCATTTTTGAAGAATTTTTTTTTTCCCTTCTCCTCTTGGTCAGAATCAATCCTTTGGCGAAAGTAAGAACCACAGGAGTTGTTCGGTTTGGTCCTGCTGAGTTTTGATTTTCTGTTGTCCAGCCTCATAGTCCTACACACTCGCCTCATGCTGCGGGGACTCGGGGCGGCTGTGTCCTCGGAAGTGACCGGGGCCCCATCCTCAGCAGATAGACAAGCTGGGACCTCGCCTGCCCTTCTCATCCGAGAGGCTTTTGCTCCGGTGCGCCAGCCCCAACCTCAGGTGGGGTGGTGAGGTCACCTCACAAAAGACTGCACTTTCCTTAGAACCAACAGGAAGCAACTCAACAGGGGTGGGCTGGCCGTTGCCTCCAGCAGCCCCGGCCTCCATCCTGACGAGCCCGGCCTGACCTCTTCGGTGCTGACCTTCCCAAAGTGATGCCTTACTGGTTTTGTATTAACCGTGTTCATTTATGAGTGTCGTGCCTGCCTGGGGTCCGTTTTGTTGTTTTTGTTTTCCCCATCAGAGCAAACAGGGCTAAAAATGATCATCTACTCATTAGGAGAACTCGAGTTGCTGTGACTTTTCTCATCCAAGAGACTTGTGTGTGTGGGTGCGTGACCATTGGAAAAAGAAAAAGGGAAAAAAAGTCTGTGGTTTTTTTTTTTTGTTTGTTTGTTTTTTTTTGCAGGTTCTTAATTAGTCTCCAACTAACACCCTGACGGGGCAGTGACGACCCACCTTGTGCAGGGAAAAGCCAATGTTCCTCCAGGTCTTCATGACATTGTCTGGCCCTGCAAGTGTGTGTGGACACACCGGTGCTTTCCTGACAGAGTGGGGGAACCTTTGAGTTGTTTCTGTTTCATAAAGAGAATCTTTATGGGACCCCACTTGGGGTAGCTATGTTCACAATCAGGGTTTTTATTCCATGTTTTCCATTTCTATTAATGAAGGTCCATCTCTTGACGTTTTTTTTCATTTCTTTCTGCAAGAGCTTGAACTGAACCAGCTTTCACATCACATTGAATGATACCATTTTCTTCCTCCTTGAAAGGAAAAGAAGAAAGCGTCCTCCTAACTGGCAAATGGACCTCCCCTTAATGCTGTCCCTGCTTTCAGTCTCAGTAAACTCAGACTCTCTGCTAGGCCTTCATGAGTCATCTGAGTGTGTCTGTGTGTCTTGTTTGGTTTTATTTTTGATAACGTTTTGGAACCATATATTTAGCCTGTGACTACAGGCCAAACCCTGAGCCTTCTGGTAAACCCACAGGGTGGTCTTCTCAATTTATCTCCCAGCGATGACCTTGCACTCTCATACTGTGAATTTGGGAGGAGGTAGAATTGGCTTCTCTTGGTGGGCGATTTTCCCAGTCACCTTGTGAGTAGACACCTGCCAATATTGTTTGATTTTTTTTTTTTTTAATGACATTTTCTTTTCTCTTTCACCTCTCCCCTCTCGCACAGACTTCCCTCCACTGGGTCCAGGCTCAGAACTAAAACCTCTGTCCCTGGTGCTGTCTGACTGGTAAACAGTGATTGCAAGTAGCAGGGCCCTCGTAGGACTCACAATCAGTGTCCTTCCTAGCGCTTCGGGAAGCAGGGTTGTCAAATATGCACATTTATTATTTTGGTCATATTCTACTTTCGTGTCACTCACCTTTGACAAAGTGACTTTGTACTCATTTAGGGCTCTGTCCAAAATGCTTCCATTTTGCCTTTTTCTACAGTTAGGCTAATTTTGAAATGTATGAAATTCTATGCAACATGTATGTTGAGTTACCAATGGAAGCCAAAAGATTTCTTCCCAAACTGCCAAGAATTTTACAGGCCATAAATGAGATGGGAATGCCTTTTAATTTAAGGTGGTGGGTGGGGTAGGGGTGGGAAAGGAACTAGACTTGCCTAGACCTTTATTGTATCTTGGGGACAATTTTTTTATTTTGTCGTTGATGCTTAAATTTCAAAATTTTGTGTGTTCAGATTTGGTCATGGCGAAACTACTTCAAAAGGAAAAATAATCCAAACTTTGTGGATATTAAATGGAAGGTTTGCTGTTTTGATCTAGTTGTTTCCAGTGGGGCAGTTTATGAAATATGTTCTATAAGATGTACATTTTTTCATTGTAACATAGAAATTGTAAATAATTGATTAAAGTGCTGCATTTTGATGAATTTTTTCTAGCCATTTTTAAAGAGAAAACTAGGAATTGAGTATTTTGTGTACGGTATGTTCCCATCCTCCCTCCCCTTCCACCCTCTTCCTCCCTATTTAATTTTCATTTGTCATGAGGTTTTGGATTTGCCAATGATCTGCTGGAGATCATGCCCCACGTCATAGAGAATAAAGCTGATGATTGTACCAGTCTTAAATTATTCATGATTCAATAAAATTGATGCTTATTTATTCAGATTAGTGGTTTGGCTTTTCTGTGCTAGAGCAGTCTCCATCGGAGTTCAACTCACGCCAGAAGGAAGTCCTTATGTAGCCAACACAGAGAAAGTCCAAAACATTTGCAAATCCATCTTTGCCACCATGTCATCACTACCCCGTCCCAGTTTCTTGCCTAAGTGATTGCTGCTTATGTGGAGCTTGTTAAAAACACAGGACTTCAGGCTCCACTCAAATCTTATGAGTCACTAGGGATCTTGTACAGATGCAGATTCTGACTTAGAAAGTCCAGGATGGGCCTCCCTGGTGGTGCAAGGGGTTAAGATGCAACCTGTGGGGCCTCCCCTGGTGGCACAGCAGTTGAGCACTGGACTGCAAGGCTGCCCGCAGCCTCTGCAGCGCTGGTTCGATCCCCGGCCACTGGCGAGGGTCTCACATGGCGCGCAGACCTCTCCTGCTGTGCCCGCTGCCCCCCTTAGCAGTGTATTTCGTCAGTCTGCCTGTTCTGTTCTCTGCTCTGGCTCTGGTGAATTCTCTCACCCTCCCGCTCTTCTGACTGTACCCAGTGCTTGTATAAATAAATAAATAAATAAATAAATCTTTAAAAAAAAAAAAAAGACGCAACCTATGAAGCTGCGCACAGCCTCTGCAGCATGAGTTCGATCCCTGGCCGGCCAGGGAGCAACCTATGTGGCACAGCTGACCTCTCCTGACACGCCTGCTGCTCCCCTCATTAGTGTGTTTCAGTCAGTCTGCCTGTTTTGTTCCCCACTCTGTCTCTGGTGAATCCTCTCATGCCCCCGTACCTCTGGCCTGTACCCCTGTTCTTGTATGCATAAATAAATCTTTCAAAAAAAAATAGAAAGTCCAGGGTGTAGCCTGAGAGTCTTGGTTTCTAACAGGCTTCCAGATGATGCTAGCGCTCTACGTCCTAGACCACATTTTCAGTACATAAGCAGCTCCCCAGTTGACCCCTTGGCATAAGAGTTTTTTTTTTTTAACATGCCAAGTATCTACTAATTGCCAAATGTTTTCCCAAATGTCCCAATATAACCTGCAAAATGACTCTGGGAAGGTAAATATTTGTGCTCCCATTCTACCGGTGGAAAAACTGACTCACAAGGAATAGAGACAGACTAAGTGCACCAAAATAGAAGAGTGGATCAAGAAAGTGTGGTGTAGGGCCTCCGTGGTGGCACAAGGGGTTAAGCACCACACTGTGAAGCAATCCGCAGCCTCTGCAGCACAAGTTTGATCCCCAGCCAGCCAGAGAGGAACCCACATGGCAAGCAGACCTCTCCTGTCTCGCCCGCTGCTCCCCTCAGCAGTGTATTTCAGTCAGTCTGCCTGTTCTGTTCCCCACTCTGTCTCTGGTGAATCCTCTCACCCCCCGCATCTCTGGCCTGTACCTCGGTTCTTATATGCATAAATAAATAAATCTTTAAAAAAAAAGTGATCTAATATGGCAAACCATTAGATCACTAAAAAAAAAAAGTGGTGTATAGACACTATACATTACTACTCGACAATCAAGAGAGAAACGTGTGCCATTTGCAGCGACATGGATGGAGCTGGAAGGGCTTATGCTAAGTGAGGTGAGCCAGAAAGGGGATCATAATGGACTCTGGAGGAGGACTGTGGCACTTTGGTGGTGGGAGAGCCAGGGTCAGTAGCAACACCTTTGGGGAGGAATCCTACACTGTCAAAATATTAGCAGGAATGAAAAAGACTACACACCCACATGTGTATGTAGATAAATAGGCTCAGAGAAAACAACCTGATAAGGGTCCTGTAAGTTAAGGTACAAGAGTGTTGGCATTTTCTTTTTGTGTGTGTGTGGGACCCTCGCTGGTGGCCGGGGATTGAACTGGCACTGCAGAGGCTGCGGGCAGCTTCACAGCCCAGCGCTCAACCACTGCACCACCAGGGGAGGCCCAAGAGTGTTGGCATTTTCAACCCCATCTTCCACCTCCACATCCTGCCTTGCAGGGCTGCCTCTAGTGGGGGAAAAACTAAGGTTGAGGAATGTTAAATTATTTATTACATGTCATAATGTTCTTGACTGTTTCAATAAGAGAATAT